TCTCACATATAAATCTCACTTATGAATGCGCTCTGCTTATGTCATACCTTCACTGTCCGATGTTGACCAGATTAGGTCCAGTTCTCCTTTTGGTCTTTGGTTCTTCTTTTTTCTTTCTCATGTTTTAGCTGGTTCTTCTAACACCACTGCAACCATCGCCTTACAAAATATTCTGTAATACTACAGTAAGAAGCTGTAAGATTTCTGTAGTGCTGTGTAAGATCTCTACAGTAATCTGTGATCTGTTCACCTCCTATAGTGTTCCTGCAGTACTGTGTAATCTATAGTACACTCTTTAAAAAGATGGTTCTTCAAGAGCTCTTAAGTAATGGGAATGGTTCTATTTACAACAATGAGTTTTATATAGAACCATTTCATGCTTAAATGGTTCTACATAGCACCAGAAGGGTTCTTCTGTTACGGTGTCAAGTTTGTAACAATAGAAGAACCCTTTCTGGTGCTATATAGAATATCTGTTTCAGCTGTAAGCTTTTCATGTCTCTGCTGTTTTTGATGTTAAAGATAGTGTTTTCTGTAAGGACAGGCTGGGTTTGCACCTGCCCACTCCATGTCCTCCTCCTCCTCCTTCTCCTCCTCCTCAAGCGTCTCGTGGGCTGCAGACTCCTTGAGTCCGTGTCGTTGACTGTGCGCGTGTGCGCTGTATGCTGCTGAAGACCTTGCGCGTGTTTCTCTCACAGCATCAGCATCACGACGTCGTGGTTCAGAGCAGGTAGCGTGTGTTTTCTCGAGCGCAATGGCTTTGCTGTCTTGCTGCACGTCTGTGAATGTTTTTGTGGCCTCAGAGCCAGGTTTGCTGGTTCATTTGTTATTGTTTCTAGAGGGGAAAAAGCTTGGCTGCGTTGTGAATTTTGGAGTAGATGCAGTAGTTTCTCTCTCTCTCTCTCTCTCTCTCTCTCTCTCTCTCTCTCTCTCTCTCTACCTGTGTGCTTATCTTGTGTTGAGAAAGGGCATTTATCGTAGAGCTATTTAGAGATTTGTTGATGTTAGTATTTTATAGTGAGTCAGTGATATTTTTATTTATTATTTTTATGTAATATTTCAAGAGCACATATACTGCATTTGTCTTGTAACTTATGATAAATTAGGTCTGCTTATATTATTCGTTATATTCATTTACTCAAAAAAGTAATAAATCACATTTTACATAACCACTGTGCCTTTAAGAGTAATGTATGTAAATGACCCTTATTCTGATTGGCTGCTTTGTTTTGCACCTCATTCAAAAAGCAGTCCGGGCTGAAACGTTCTTTATGACTTCAGTGTGAACCGGCAGAGCTAAACTGCTGTAGGCAGGAGTGGGTGGATGTATGTAAATGTGATATCCATTACATAACAAAAACAATACGGGCTACGTTTGCAGCTTAATTTCCATATATGTAAAAATTATGTGGAAGAATTGCATATATGAACATTTGCATTTCCATCATATGCGACTTTTAATTGTGGATCAGCAGCATCTATGAGTTATACTCATCTCTATGATTACTGGTTTTTAAGGGTTTAGACTGCTTATGCAGCCCTACCACAGGGGTATAGGAGTCATATTAGAGGACTACTGAAAAGTTTTACTCTCAAAGAGTATGGCATCATAATCGCTTTGTAATGTAACAGTGTAACATTGTAATGAACTAACGTAACATTAGTTTGTTACAGTGCTGCACTGTAACATTAATGCAGTGTGCAACATGGCATTACAATGCCTGTGTACCTAATGTGTAGCATATGATTGCAGCAGTGGTTTGGTTCTGACAGAGTGCCAGGGTGTGTAGGTGAGTGTGTGTTTGTTGCTTTGGATGCGTTCTATACATTGGTTTGTCTGTTTTTTGAGGCTGCAGTACCTCCTGTTAGACTCCAGAGGGTAGAGCGTTTTTTGGGTGTGGTGTTTGGGGTCTTCACTTGCAATAAAGCTCTTGCTTTAATACTCCATGGTTCTGTAAGGTGTGTGAACTGGTACAGACTGGAGGTTGGAAGTGTGCATGAGTGCATAAGAGCACACCCACACATGCATTCAGAGCAGCCCTGCTCCGGCCAAGACGAGCTGAGCACACGCGCCGGGCTGTCGTGCAACCAAACAGCTTCTCTCCCCGCCAGACATCTGTCAACTCTGAACCACAAGGGCTTGATAGAAAGAGCTTGTCATATCAGTACTGGCCATTCAGAAATCTGTTCAATAGACCAAGCGATAACATACAGTCAACTCCAAAAGCCCCCCAAACCCTACCACACCCTGAGTTTGAATAGTTGCAGCTGGTAAAGAAAGAGTTTGGCAAAAAATTAAATTAAAGCAACTTTCCTTTTATGTAGTGGATGAGTCAAGACATGTTTGGTGTCTGAGGTTTGCTTCTTTAAATTTGCACTGGAACTAAGAGGCTAATGTGGCAAACAAGTAAAAGAAGTTTGTACTCTGCTAGTTTAGCATTGTGCAAAATGCATGCTTACTTGCTTCAAAGCACACAAAGTTATTAAGTAATCTCAAACATATTTATATATCTGAAATGGTGGACAGACAAAGGTCAAGCTTCAATGGAATGAATAGCTATGCAAAATAATAATATCACCATCATAGCTCCAGTACAAAACTAGAGAAACCAAAGAAGCAAACATGCCTTGACTGATCTGCTACGTTTGAAGCAAAGAGTACATTGTGTTGATTTTTTCCCAAGCTATTCCTTTAACGCTCAAAACAAAATAACGTTTCACATGATTAGGAGGTCAATAAAGTTGCTGTTGCATGTTCATTGTGGCTCAACATTCTCTCCATGAACATCCTCTTCTTGAAATAAATAGCATAGTTTGATTCAGATGCATCATGTCAGGTTTATGAGCACTGACACTTTTATGGTCTGAATTGTACCTTTGCGGACAACCTATTTTCAGTGCTTTTAATTTTCAAGCAGAAATTACTGTAGAGTACACTGGTGAATATGCAGGACTGATTCCACTTGGACTGCTTTAAACCTGAGAAGTCTAGCATTATAACTGCTATCTTGCTATAGTATTTCATTTTAATAACTTTATTACATAGGTAATTACGTAGTTAATTATGTAATGAATCTGCTTAATAATGATTTTTGAGGTATTTGACCTACTTAGTAGCCATTAATAAACTAGTTTTAAACTATTCATCAACGCTCTATAATGCTAGTTTTATTGTTAAGCGGTACTAAAATAATAGTAAGATATGAGTGAGAAATGATTCATATGAAATAACATCATGTTTCTGTTCAGCAGCAATAACTACAATGTCTGAGTGTTAAAGTAGTGGACAAACACTGATGCACCTCTGGCCGCTTTAGGCAGAGAGCAGCTTCTATTTGAATTACTCTAGAGACCTGCATGACTATAGTGATAGAATGAAATATTGAGCTATTCATGTATCTGTCCTTATCTGGATATGCAATAGAATCTTCTCCAGGAAGGTTGCATTTCAAGCTAAATAAGTCAACCCTAAACTAAGAAACATCCGCAATGGCACTGGATCACGAACACGTCACCAGTGATCCTAAAGCGACAATGAGAAAGACAGAATGAGAGAAAGGAAGAGAGGCTTGTGGCACTCAATTTAGCTCCTCCCATGGAGCTTAAAAGATTAAGCGTCTCTCTGAGAGTTATATAGAGATGGTTGAATGCGTAGGTGAGGGACCTGGGCCACTTTGGGACCACTCAGAAATAACCTGTCTAGCAGGGGCAATGGACCACACTAGGAGAGTGCAGATATAGTCTAAGCATTAAAGTGCTACAGACAGGTTAGAGGACACCTGTGGTCAGTAATTGAACCTATTCACTGTAGAGACTGAAGTGTTGAAGGGACAATTTCTGTTAGTACTGAAATAAAAGATGGCAAATACACAAACATACACACACATGCATACATATAACACTGCTATTATTAATTTACAGAAATAGAATGTAAATTTGCAAGAGCAAATTATCACATTTAAATCAGACACTTGCATACTTGCATATATTTTGTTACTATTGTTATTATTTAGATTAAATACTGTACATCATAACTAGTTTAAGTAGTGAAGTTATTAAATTACAGTAAAAGGCAGTATTTCTAAAAATTTTATGACTGTAATTTTACAGATTTTTACCATTGTTGAGAAAACACTTATTGTTAATTAACATGAGGATATATATCCTCATGTTAATTAGCAATAAGTGTTTTTTCAACAATGGTAAAAATCTGTTTTTATATATATATATATATATATATATATATATATATATGTATATATATATATATGTGTATATGTATGTATGTATGTATGTGTGTGTGTGTGTGTACATGTATTATATCTTTACTCAGAATCCGTTATTTGAGGCACAAGCTTTATCTTTCAGTTTAGTTATTGTATCTCAATCAAGCACCCAGAGTACTCTGAGTATTTCTTATTACCTGTAATCCTTTTCTGTGTTCTGTAGCACTCTGTAGCCTACCTGCTCATAATTAACCTCAGAAAAAAGGGCTCTTGAAAATGTGAAAATGGCTAAAGCTTCTGTAGATGGAAGCCACAGATGTGGAGAATTAGAGGGATGTGAGGTGAATGGGGGCATAAAGTCTCAGTAATAGAGCTGCACATGTAACCAAGGAGACCAGGAAAAACTAAAGTGTAAAATGACGGTGTTCGAACATGTGTTTGCCAGTGTGAGTTTGCGTGGTTGGTTTTTTTTTTTTTTTTTTTCTTTTTTGTTTTTTTTTACTTTTTTCTTAGCATTTGAAAAGATAAAACCTTCCATCATTAGCTGCAGTGGTTAGTTAGTCCCTGTGGCTGTCCATCGAACAAAATCGGACAGAGCTGACCACCGCTGTTTGTGAAAAAGCAGGTGGACTTCATGGTGATGGCCTTGTAAAAGACCAATAACAGACAATGAGGGGGTTACAAAAACAGGTAAAACCTCCAGCCTGTGCAATTTTAAATTGACATGCACCTTCTCTTTTCTTTTCTCTCTTTGCACGTGGCTTCTGGAACAAGGGATAGAGCACCACAGAGAGAAGGAGGAGAGGAATGGACAGATCCTGAAGACGGAGAGCTTTGGGTTTCAGACGCTGTTTTCTCACTTGGTCTCTTTCTCACGCTCTGTTCGCATCCATCTGGCTGCATGATTGCAGCCAAGACTGTTTCATAAGCAAGAGTCTTGCCTGCATGTTTTTCTGACTCCATCAATTCTGGAGTTAACGATTTATTTACCTTTTGCACAAATAAGCATATAATTTTATTGTAGAGCTTTGGAGGCTGTGAGCTCTTCACCTACTTGCTTTTGAGCCTAAAATGGACTTGTGTGTTACAACAACATTTGTAAATCCATGCAGCAAAACCCACTCATGAAGCTTCATCGCAACAAAATGTTTTCCCTGTGCAGTTCGTGCAGTCCAACTTAGTAAAGTTTAGTTCAACTGCTTATTTTCATAAGGCGTAGGTGAGTTTATCACCTAGGCAACCTGTTATTCTGATCATATTATGAATGATGACAACTCTGACTCCGCCCCCAGCAATGACACTCGGCAGGGGGCAGGTGGGGCGGAGGACGAAGAGGAGGCGGGGCCACGGAACGGCTCACCGACCATGAGTGGCAGCTCTCCTTCATCCAATCCAGCTGATGGCAGGACGGGATCGTCACCAGGGGCCGACTCGGGGCCCGCTGGTTCGTCAGGGGACAACCGGGGGCCAAATTCAGATGACATGGACGCATTGTCCAGCGGCAATGACTCCGGAGAGAGGGAGAGCGAAGGAGGGCTGGAAAGAGAGAACGGCTCCAGAGGACGACAGTCCATGAGGAGTTACCAAAGCTCCTCAAATGGCAAAGATTCTGGCATGATGCTGGAGACCACAGAGAGCAACAAAAGGTAAGATTATTATTAGTAACATTGTATAAAGTCACATAATTACCTGTCTAAATTCCACTTAATTTATTGATTGGCAAACGTTTGGGGACACCTAGCTGTTTCTTATATGAATTAGCATGTTTTCTTACAAAATTGAAGAAACAGCTGATAAAAGTACTTATCAGCGCTCAAATCTTTCAGCTGTTTAAACCACCTTTAGATCAAAAGAGTTCCAGAATGTGCTTTTAACAACAGCTTGGTAAAGAAAACTGTGAAGACACTATTTAGGCAAAAGCTGCTTTTCATACAAAGGACGGCACTTTGATGAACATGAAGTGAAGTGAAAAATGTACCAATACTGATAGCATATTCTATTAATAGTGTCAATGAGTAGCTGTTTATGTTAACAGCCCTTTATAGGTATTACAGATATTTTCATATTTAATTGAAAAGTAACAGTAAAAATAAAACAATGTAAACAAATGTCCCCAAACATTTGACTGGCAGAGTAGCATTGAGATTTATGAGGAGGGTTGGTGAAAATAGAGATAAAAGGAGACAGAAAGAAATGGAAGAGAAAAGGTCACTCAGGTCAACTGTTAACTGATGTCTTTGACTGTAATTAAATGGAAAAGAAAAAAGTCCCTGAAGACTTGTTAGAAGAAAAGACATGATTACATGATTACCTTTACTAACCATAACCTTTTCTCTCTGTGTCCTTTTCTTGCCTGCCTCTCTCTCTCTCTCTCTTCTCTCTCTCTCTCTCTCTCTCTCTCTCTCTCCCCCTCTCTCTCTCTCTCTTTCTTTCTTTCTCAGCTCAAACTCGCAGAGCCCCTCTCCTCCAAGCAGCTCTCTGGCCTACAGCCTGCTGAGCGCTAGCTCAGAGCAGGACCACCCCTCCACCAGCGGCTGCAGCAGTGACCAGTCAGCACGCGTACAGACGCAGAAGGAGCTGATGCGGGCTTTGAAGGAGCTGAAGATCCGCCTGCCCGCTGAGAGGAAGACCAAGGGCCGTTCCAGCACCCTCAATGCCCTCAAATACGCCCTCAGCTGCGTCAAACAAGTCAGAGGTGAGGGACGTTTGTGTGGGTATGGCTATGTTGATGTTACAAACCTCATTGTTCAGTTCAGATTTTTTGCTCCAATTTGATCTTTATGCCTTCTTGATTCATATTTTGTGTTTGTAAGTTCCTTACACACTGAACATTCTGCTGGAGAAGGAAAGCATATGCACATTTTATCAGTACATTAGCTGCTGTTGACATACTGTCCACCCTGGAAGATGACTACAGTGCTTTGAACATGTGCAAGTGTGATCTAAAAATAAATGCAGATGTCTGAGCAGTCAGATCAGAATTCAATAATTCCACCTCAACATTCATCATAATTTTGTGGGGGTGGGAGTAGAACTCTTAGAGTAACATCATCAAAATGGTTACTATTGTTATGCTTTGCGTCCTTCGTTTTGGAGGATGAGTGAGACAGGCGTGGGTAGTGTTGATAAATGAGCGTTTCAAGGAGCAGCTATTCAGAATCAGGTTTACGTCAAGGATATAAGTAAATGAGTTAAAGAAGCATTACCTGGACTAAGTCTCTTCATCGTTTTTGGCACTTTGTTTGCTTCCCTTTCCAAGCATTGTTGTTCTTCATGACAGATATCCAAAAAAAACTGAACTCTCTTTCTCTGTTTGATCGGCTTCCACAGTTAAAACAAGAACAGAAATTCACCTTTTTTACTCAAAAATTTATGCGTAATTGGTTTAGTGTGTGCTGTTTTTGTCTTTGCAGTTTAATTTAGCAGCAGACTTTGACGTCATGTGAAAGGAGTGTATTGTCTTAAGAAAAGATAGGGGACAGCTGGATGTGTATTCCTGAGGAAGCATTGTTCTTTTGCATATGCTGGTCACTTTAGAAGTATGAGCTGCTCAGACTAATTTCAGATACATTTATATGCAAAAGGTTGGTCACCTCATGTCAAATTATGTGTTTTGGTGATTTTCTAAGTGAAAATAAGTTAATATTTTCTCTACAGGGAATAGACTCGCAGTTCACTGCAAATATTTGTGCACAATTTTAACATACTGGAAAAACAATTTCCCACAACTTTTGCACAAGTCATTTTTTATTTTCACAATATGTTTAATTCAGCAAATAAACAGTAATTGTGCATTAAAGTGTGCAGAATCTTTGTAGATTTTCTAAATGAAAATATAATTTGACTAGGGGCGACCAAACCTTTAGATATGACTGTATAGGTCACAGAAAAAAAAAAATAACGCGAACAATTTAAAGATCAAATTTTATTCCACACAACTTTGGAAAAATCAGATCTGTATCACATTTAGGCAGAAAAATCTGCCCTTCAATGTAAATATAGCCTGTGTGTCCACAAAAGAGAGAGGTGGGCATTTTTAGTTTATTACACAAATTTACTTTCTTAAGGTTCGGATGAAGTGGCCAGGTTTTCCACAGAATATTTGTCTATTATTTAATAAAGAAAACATCTAATACATCTGGATGTCAGCTGACTTAACTAAGTAAGGATTAGGGATGCACAATAATATTGGAATTATATCGCTTTCTGCAGATAATAAAACATTTCAGCATCAGACAGATGTTTAGAATTGATAGATATTTCAAACCGATATTTGATGATGTATTTGTTGCTCTCTGGCAGAGCAGAATGTTTAGGTCAGGGGGCTAAACCCAAATGTTAAGAAGAGCCATTTTGTCCTTTCAACAAAAATCAAACCACACTGGGAGCCACAACATTTTAGATCTATTTTACCATCTTGGCTGTAAATATGTCTCAGTATGTGCCAATGTACTGGTGCAGGCTAAAGATATAATCTTAACAAAAGACGCAGACTTTCTGCTTTAAGGTTTAGCACAAAGCTGGTTTTCTCACATCTCTGACAGGAAACAAAAGGAAATAGTTTCTTGTAAAATGTCTCTCAACATTCAACTTTTTACGAGGCTGAAGTCAGCTTATCATTCGCAGGTTCTTGTTCTAATTTTCCCGTTCCACCTTAAATGAATGTAAGGTGGAATGGGAAAAATCGAACAAGAAGATGGCAAACGAGAATCTGACATCAGCTTTGCGACTTATTAGTGTTTGACAGTTTCTCATTGCAGATTAAACATATCAGGAAACCAGCTGGAGTGCTTATAAATGCAATTTAGTCTGTTTGTCACCAAATTATTGATGTTCATCTTAAATCTTTCTTTTTCATTAGCTACTAACTAGGCGAGATTGTTTTCTGTGTTTTAGGGTTAAAAGTTGGTGAATTAGAAGTTGTGGGCTACATTAACTCCAGTGTTTAAGACCATTCATTGTTAAAACTGTGTTAGCGTTAAAACTCTGGAGCCGCATGTTGCTGACCCCTGGTTTAGGTGGTAATGGGCTACTGTGCTAAAATGTCTGCATTTTATTCAGTTAACTGCATTTGTAACTCTAAGAAATAAACGTTTTTTTTTCCCTAATTCTAATCCAGGCAGATTAGGTCACAATTTCTACTATTTTTCTTCTCTTCTATTTTATAAATGTTCATGTATCTGCATCGAAATGTGTGTACATTAAATATATCAGATATTGGATATCAGCATCTGCCCACAGTTTCCATATTGGTGCTTCCCTAGTAATGATTTGAAAAATCTAAAACAAATGCATATTCTCTCCAGCCAATCAGGAGTATTATCACCAGTGGAATGTTGAAGAGTGCCATGGCTGCAGTCTGGATCTCTCCACCTTTACCATCGAAGAGCTTGACAACATCACCTCTGAGTACACGCTGAAAAACACAGTATGTACACACTCACATGTATGCACTCATACTCACGTGTTCCTACAATGATTTCTTTCTCTTAATGCTCTATTTTTCCTCATTTCTGCTTTTGGTCTCCATGCCCCTCTCTCTGTCAATTACACATCTCATTCATGTTTTTCACTCTTTCTCTCTCTGAGAGCTTTCTCTCTCTGTCACCGACCCCATATGAACCTATTCTCTTTCTCCCTGTTTTCTCCCTCCATTTTCTTTTCTCTGCTTTCCACGTGGACCTGAAATTCTCCCAACGAGTCGATAATCATTAAAGTCTCTTGTTTACTGAAGTGGCTCTTTCGATTTATCTCCTAAAGCAGCGTATTAAAAAAGAACCAGTTTCTGTCTTTCATGCCCTGATAAATGCTGTTGTATGAGCAAAGAGGAGATGGTCCTAGATCAGCATTGAAATAGGTCCACGTTATTAAAACACAAGCAGAGGCAGTTAGACTATCGTTAGACTGTCATTTCACTTACGCAGAGTGCTTATCTCCATAAGCTAGTTATGCACCTTCCCTGTCTCTTTAACCCTACCTTACTGAACCTCTTGTCTCCATTCAGAGACATTGTGTTTGTCACCTTTTACTCTGCCCCAGAGTAGTTGGGATGCGTGCTTGTCCAGGTTAAGCATAGCGTTCAGCATGTGGGATTGGAGCTCTCTGGATGCTGCCGTGTTTTCTATCACTGTATTAAAGATGCGTGATGCTGCCTTTAGTGTAAGATGCACTGTGATAGTTTCTAAGTGAGCATGCAAGCACATTCAGAATGTAATTCAGATCAAGGAGTTTTTGTTAGATCATGACCTGAGAAATCACATTATTAAGAAAAAGTTTAAAAGGCAGAAATAGCTGCTTTTATGCTTCAGTAAATGTTATACGTTTCTCCAGCTCCACTTTCTGACTTTTCCCCTTTTTCCTTCCCGCTTTAGCATTTTTCCTCTCCTTTTCTCCACCTTTCTTCTGTCTGTCTCTGCTTCTCCTTGACTAAAGTGAGCCATCCATAAATAACTTGCATTCCTGTCTTTATTACTGTTTTATTTACTGGCCTTTTCAAGGCTTGTGTCTGGCCATTAGCATGTTGTACAGGTCAAGTATATGTCTAGATTTGCAGACTAGAATATGTCAAGTGGTGAAGTCTGAGCTCTCAGTGGGCTGGCTGTCCAACAGTAGTTGGGATACAGTGAGAAGAAATGGGTTATTTCATCCGTCCATGCTCTCAAATACATTACTTCGCAGGAACTGTTGCGAGGTTGGACAAGCTTTACAGAACGTTGATAAAAATCGCATTGAACCTCATGAATTTAGGTTAGCCTTTACAACATTAAGTCCAGTTTAGTATGGTATGCTACTGAACTGGAATACATTACTGTACCTGATCGAAACTATGGAGATGGGAAACAAAACTAATTTGCCACCATGCTAATGTTAGCTCAATTAAACAGCAAAAAAGCTCTACTTGATTTATCCCAACATAGTTAATAACACACTCTAAGTGTCCACATTTTGACAAAAAATAGTGCACTACAATTTTCTGGACAGAGCATGAAAAGGGCAATTGTGCATACAACTGAAAGCCATTCTGAAAAAGGAACATTAGGGCATTATTCTGTGGCAGCTTGCTTGATTATGTTGGCTCTCTTGACCCTTTGGGATATCATTTGTCCTCATTCCCCTTTTTCTCTCCTTCCGTCAGTTTTATAGTGCACTTGAGACTGTTTATACACAGTAATTATGAGCATAAATACTTCCTTGTAGACAGAAAAACTCTAGCTGCAAAACCTCCGATGTAATGAATAATGTTAAAATAATATTCCAGTGTTTTTCAGTCTAATCTCCATCTGTCGCATCTGTGGTATATTGTCCACCATTACCATGGATTATAATTATGATGTGTTTCCCTGTATTTAGAAAACATAGAAAAGAACAGAAAACACACAGACTCAAAAATATACTAAAGAAGTCAGTGGTACATATGAAAAGATTGAATCTTTATTTTTCCCCTCTCTCTCTCCCTCCTCTAGGACACATTCTCCATGGCCGTGTCATTCTTGTCAGGAAAAGTGGTGTATATCTCCCCGCAGGGTTCGTCTTTATTACGCAGTAAACCAGAAAAGCTACTGGGGACACTGTTTTCAGAACTACTCGCCCCTCAGGACGTCAGCACTTTCTACAGCAGCACTGCCCCCTGTAGACTACCAGCATGGGCTTCCTGCATTGGCTCTGGTGTGTGTGTGTGTGTGTGTGTGTGTGTGTGTGTGTGTGTGTGTGTTTTGCCTGTGTTAGTCACTAAGTTAAGCGCTCATTCCATTTAATTACAAAGAATGCTGATTTTTGGCTCTGGCTCAACAGCATACAAACCATGAACGGTATTTAAACAGTAGTACATAATCTGTCAGCTTTTTTCTATCAACGCTAATGGTGTCGTTACTGTCCTTTCTGTGTAGTTTCTAATCACAATAACTTGAGAAATTACTCAACCAGCTACCTTCAAAAATGACATATCTAACCACAATGGATGCAATAGTTAGAATGCACAAATGTAACTAAACTATTTTGAATTTAATATTTAAATTTAAATTTAGTTAGAAGGGGAACAGAATCCAAGTAATCAAAAACTGAATGAGTGCATTAGCATATGTTAGAAAATGACTCACATCATGTTGTTCTTCTTCGCATGTAGCCTCTCCTCCAGTGGACTGTACACAGGAGAAGTCCATGTTCTGTAGGATCAGTGGAGACAGCTCCTCCAGTGGTGATATGAGGTATTACCCATTCAGACTGACCCCCTATCTGCTCACACTGCGCGATTCAGACATGGCAGATCCACAGCCCTGTTGCCTGCTCATTGCCGAGAGAGTGCACTCAGGATATGAAGGTAACACACATGCACACATATAAACACACACACACACATATTTACTCACATAAGCACTTGAAATTGAACAATATAGTGGGAGAAGTGTCCAGTTCTGGTCCTGGGGGGGCATTAATTCAGCACAGTTTAGTGATTTTTCCCATACAAGCACACTTGATTAAACTCAGCGGTTAGTTGCCAGGTTAAGTTGGTGTAAACTAAAGCAGGGAAATCACAAAACAAAATGGCCAGAACTAGAATTGGGAACGCTTGTCATAGTGAAACCTGAACAAACTGATTTTAACTGGTTTTTGTTTTTTAAAGATCAATTTTTTACAGGTTAATATGTTATAATAAACTAATTGTTATCTTTTCTCACTGCCCCAACCCACCCCACCCTCTACTTTCTCTCTGCTCTGTCTCCCTCTCGCTCTCTCAGCTCCTCGTATTCCTCCAGATAAGAGGATCTTCACCACCAGCCACACTCCAAGCTGTCTGTTTCAAGAGGTGGATGAGCGGGCAGTGCCATTGCTGGGTTATCTGCCCCAGGACCTGGTGGGAACTCCAGTCCTGCTCTGTCTCCACCCTGAGGACAGACCCATGATGGTGGCAATCCACAAGAAGAGTGAGCCTTTCTCTCTCTCTGTGTCTCTTGTTTTTTTTGCTCCGCATCATTTGTGTACAGCTCCTCACATTAGTCAGCATGAATATTTTATGAATATTTTACTTACACCCAACATTTGAATATTTGTTTTATACTTCAGTATAAAAACAAATAAGCCTGTTATTACTTTGAATTAGGCTAACTTTGACTAGCCTACTGCATGTTCATTACTGACACATACAGAGCATAAAACATCAGCTGCTCAAATTAGGCAAGCTTGTATTATACCAGAAGTGACACAGCATGGCCGAGAAAACAGAACGTTTCTGTGTTTTAAAACCGGTCACAAGTGAAAAATTTGAAGCCTAGTGGTGTGCCTTTCACAGGAAGCGGCAGAAAATAGTCTCAAAACTGTACACATACCCGTGTAAAAAGGCTAAATAGGAGCATAATGTGTCTGTCACACAACATTTCTCTTCTGTTCACAAACATAAAGGTTGTATCGATTGAAAATTTAGAACACACTCTTTCGACAGAATAGTTTCTTAGGAGCTTTGAGTGAGAAATAAATAATAAATATAAGGAGCTGTTTCGCCGTGGGGAACCGAGGTTAATGGAGAAGGTGTAAGGCTGAAAATGTGTAACCGTAATGTAGTCCTTTTCTCCCCTCTCTCTCTCTCTCCCTCTCTCTCTCTCACACTTTCTCTCTGTGCAGTTCTGCAGTTTGCAGGTCAGCCGTTTGACCACTCTCCGTTGCGGATGTGTGCCCGCAGTGGAGAGTATCTGACAATAGACACATCTTGGTCCTCCTTCGTCAACCCATGGAGCAGAAAGGTGTCTTTCATCGTGGGACGCCACAAAGTCCGAACGTAAGGATGCACACATTCTCATCCATACATGCCTGTAACCATCTGTGACACCTTTACCCCCCAAACACATGTGCACCCACTCATCCACCTCCACAACACCTTCATTTACCATACACACACAGCGTGTGCATGTTCACTCACAGGCATGTGCATATTCATGCTACATGCACACACATACACATTATCTCTCACAAACCAGCCACATGTAAATATATACTCAAAAACACATGCACGGTCATGTGCACCTGCTTGTACAAGCAAATTGAGCCAAAGAGTTTCCCAGAAACTAATGCTTCCACCTCTTCCACTGTAATATGACTCATTATGATACCCTCAGACTCATATTCCTCATATTCTGTGCTTATATTATGCATTGACTCACAGCATGTCAACCATATCCTTACACCTTCAGACACTCACATTTACTATAAATACACACGACTCACTCTGTATTTACTTGGATCTTTCACACACAGTTGCCTGAGCGGTCTCTCTTTTTCATTGGCTCACCCACGCTGTATGACAGACACTGCCCCCACCCCCACCCCCACCGCACTTCTATTAGTGGTGTACTATTTTGAAATATGATTTTGTATGGTAGTATTCAGTTTTGGACGCAGCCTTTAACAATGTTATTATGTACCTTAAATGATTTCCAGGTTGTTAGAAACACGTTTGGCTATGCCTAAGAAAAATCTCACTGTCTTACTCTGCATATGTAGGTAGATCCTTTAGAGAAGTTGTCAAGAATTTTACATCTTTTCTATAAAAACTCCAGTGATTTTTTTTTTTCAGAATTTCTGCATAATTCAGTTCGTGAGATGTCATTCAGAGTATTTTGATGTGCAAGGATGCGTTGTAGAGAAACTTGCTGATTCAGATTTCTGCAAAGTGGTGGTGATAGGAACCAAGAGTTGTAATGTCTACAGTGCAAATATAGTAATTTTATTTGCTATCCAAAATGACCAGTGAAGCTAAACATGTCTTCTGAGTTTTTAAATGCAATGTTGATAATTGTAAAATTGTGGTAAGTCAAAAAAAACTATTTTGTTTTGGTGACTATTTTCATTTACAATGCCCTCCATGTATCATTCCGCTATGAAGGGATTTTAAAATATATGTTTTAGGCCAAACCTCATAAAACAGTGTCTCGGGTATCAGGCAACATATTTGTAACCACTTCACGTAATAACTTTAGGTGAAGTAGCTTTTAGAAAAATTAAATGCTGCAGACGTCTGGTTCCTATCACCACCACTATGGACACTTCTGGCTTGGTAAGTTTCTCGAGAATGGAGCATTTCACATCAAACCATTCTGAATGACTTTTTATTTACATCTTAACGATTTAATAATGTGGAAATTTTGAAAAGATTGGTGGAATTCCCAATTAATAGAATGGTTCACTGAAAAATTAAATTTTCACAATTTTCCCCAAAGTGTAGTCGATTGGCCAAGACCACGTTTAGTGTTCAGAGTTAGCTTTTTTAGTTTTGCACTGGAAACATGAGCCTAATATAATAAAAATCTGTCACCTAAAACAATTTTGCATGGCACTGACTTCTGTAATTTTTTAGCTGCATTGACTATACCTTCAGATACATAACTTCAGATATCATTCACATCTGTTGTTGCCATTGTTTAAAGATAATTAAGAAGTAGTTTACTTAAGGACACTTGTTAATAAAACATTAATTATTTAAAATTTGAAATTTGTTAACAACTATTCATGGTTTTACAATTTTATTATGGATATTTATTTTAATGAACATATTTTGATTATAAAGTTATAAATGTCTGATTTAAGGTCATTTTACAAGATTCATTAGATTAGATCTGTAACTTTGAGACCAACATGAAGAATGTCATACATTTTCATACATAAATTTTCTTCTTCCTCCACTCCTCCAGTTCTCCTCTGAATGAGGATGTGTTCACTCTGCCGCGGGCTCTGGAGGAGCGGACTCTGGCTCCAGACATCGCTCAGCTGAGTGAGCAGATCCACCGGCTGCTGGTACAGCCTGTACACAGCGGCAGCTCTCAGGGCTACAGCAGCCTGGCCAGCAACGGCTCACACGAACTCCAGCCCAGCGCAGCCTCATCATCCGAGAGCAACGGAACTGCGCTGGAGGACCCTGCTCAGCTCCACAAACCGGTCAGCACTCACACACACTCAGTCCGCCTACACAAAATACATCTCTATAATCATAACATAGAGGAACTAATGGAGTGGGGATCAAATGTAATGCTAGTACTTTCTGTTCATTCAGATGGATCATTCTGATACAAACAGAATTATTTGAACCCTGTTGCACTTCCAAAAATTGCATAGAAAAAGACCTTCCCTGAGCCTCAATTGTGGAGGGCATAATCCTTAGCACAGCCAGCTAGTGTGAATGAAAAATGTCAGAATGTTGTTAGATGTATTTTTTCCTCAAAGCACGTCTTTGCAAACATCTTTGATCCTTTAGTTTAAGCACAGCCATTATTTGTCTGGTGAATCATTTCAAATTTTTTATGTCTGTAAAACAAGAATGCATCATCCTTTGAAGTGATTTGTTTGTGTGAGGATGAACTACACAAGGGCACTACATAGCTGGTATTAGAGAGACACAAAGAGAAAAGATATCCATGCCTTCAGACTCACAGAAAACTATTCAATAAAATCTGAGTAATTTCTCTCTGTTTTGTGAGCAGATGACCTTCCAGCAGATCTGTAAGGACGTTCACATGGTAAAGACCAGCGGGCAACAAGTGTTTATCGAATCCCGCAACCGCCCTCCTCCCAGAAAACACGCTGCCACGGGTACACGCACAAACATAACTATTCATCCATGGATGGGTTCTGAGAAGACGTCTGGAGAACTAGTTGTTTATGTTCGCTGAATGTATTCTCTTTCCCTCTACATTGAAACAACTAGGTTCCTTGCGGGCAATAGCGAATTCTGGTCCAGGTGTGGCTCCACCCTCAAAGGAGACAGTCCCCTCCCAGCTTGTGAGAAAGGACCCACCCTCCACATACTCATACCAGCAAATCAACTGTTTGGATAGCATCATACGGTAAGTGTGCGCATTAATGTGTAATCAGTGGGCATCTTTGACCTCATAGTGATTCAGTTTGATTACAGTCCCTTAGTAAATGATTCAATGCACTTTAAAATTTCACAATAATTTGATGAAATTATTTTAGAATAAGCTAAAATAATTTTTCAAAACACACAGAACACCATACACCAAGGTCTGCCATGCTTATGTAATAAAAATGGCCCTTTTTAATGCTAAAATAGGGTTGTGGTTGTGCAAAACTGTCCCAAGCCTTTTTTACGTGTTAAAATACCCTGACAATTTTGTTTTGTCCAAAATAAGAGTGCATAATACGGAATATTATTTTAATCCATTTTAACATTCTAATACCATCTTAAGATCAATGCCTCTTGATGCATTTTTACACCTCTGCAATAGTGTATTCCTGTTGCAGTCACACTACTGAAATATGTAAGGCTACACACTGAGAAACAAGCTGTTAAAGGCTGTCAGTCTCAGTAAGCCATGACTGATTGCAGCAAGTGCATCTCTGACCAGCAACACCTGTCTCTTTTTCTTTCAACTTGTCTATCATTTTTAGTTCCATTAGCTATAGCTGTCACCAGTGCTCTGATGTTGCTGTTGTGAATATGCAGTACTGACTGTCCATGTGACTGTAGGTATCTGGAGAGCTGTAATGTCCCAAACACGGTGAAGAGGAAGTGTGGCTCCTCCTCCTGCACTGCCTCCTCTACGTCTGATGATGACAAGCAGCAGGATGCGCCCGGCAACACTAAAGGTACAGATCACATTTTAGCGTGGAGGGCTGTGATGCAGAGTGTGGCTCTGGGAATTCAGTGGGTGTAAAGAGTGAAAATGTTATTTATTTTATTGTGTCTACATGTATGTCTGTATGTTTGCACTTTAGTTCCATCCGTAGCTCTGGTTGGTGAGAACACACCTCTTCCAGCCCTGACATTACACACTAAGGCAGAGAGTGTAGCATCAGTCACTTCTCAATGCAGTTTCAGCAGCACCATCGTCCACGTGGGAGATAAGAAACCTCCTGAGTCAGGTGAGTGTCTTAGGGTCAGTTTTGTGTGTCAGTGTTTCATTTATTTGCATTAAATTTTCTGTCTTGATTACTTTGAAATATTGGTTGAGGTCATTAGTCCATTAAAAGATCTTAAAATATTTGACCTGTAGTATACATACTAGAAATAACATGTTTTTATAACCATGACCATATGTTTATTATTAGACTAAATTTCTATCTCCTTGTCGCAGACATTGTAATGGAAGAAGCTCCTACGACTCCTGTCCCTGCTCCACCTGTCCCTCAGTCCCCTGCCCCGCCCACCATCGCAGCCACCCCGTCTCTGCTTCCTCCCCCAACTCCACCCAGTCCTGCACTTACAGCTGAAAGGGAAGCGGGCAGGAGAGGAGGAAGGCTGGGACTGACCAAGGAAGTGCTTTCTGCTCACACTCAGCAAGAGGAACAGAACTTCATGTGTCGTTTTAGGGATCTGAGTCAGCTCCGAGTGTTCGACCCAGCTTCAGCACTCAGACGCCACACTACCACACCACTCAATAGAGGTAATGTTATAAACATGCTAACAGAGGTGATATCAGTTACTGTTACATAGATTATGAAAAATTACTGACATCGATTTTTTTCATTGTTAAGTCATAGTTTACGTTGTGCCACCGTGGTACATGTTTAGTTGTTTTTCTAAGTGAAAATAAGTACACTTCCTAAAAAATAAAACATAAAATGTAGCCTGTGCAAAAGTTACTTAAATAAAGTTTTTTTTTTTTTTATTTCCCAATATGTTAAACTGCATTAACGCATTTTTATTTCAGAATCAATAGAACATGTAATTATGCAAGATAGCACCTGTTTTGTATGACTTACAGATTGTTTATCTCGCTCTGTCTCCCTGTTGTATCTCAGGTGTGCGTTGCTCGCGTGATTACCCTGCAGTAGGCAGCAGTAGTCGAAGGCGTGGCAGAGGTGGCAAGAGACTGAAACATCAAGAAACTTCAGAACAGGGCAGCTCTTTAGGCCGTGCAGGCCCAGCCGGAGGCCTCTCCACTGGAGCTCCTGCACAAGATGGAGCCCCTAACCCCTCTTTTCCCCTGGGGCCTCCTACCACCTCCTCTTCCTGGCCTCCTTCTGCTGGCTCACAGAACAGTCTCCCATCTGTGCCCTACCCACCGGGCATGTTACCCCTTTACCCCCTTTATCCACCCCTCTCTCAGCCCGTCGCAGACCCCTCCATGCAGCCTGGCCTTCACTTCCCTCTTCAGAATCCTCAGATGGCACCTCCCATGGTCCCCCCAATGATGGCGTTGGTACTGCCAAACTACATGTTTCCACAAATGGGCACTTCCATAGCCCAGCCTGGACCTGCAGCCATGCCCCAGCCTTTCTACAACCCAAACATGGCTTTTCCCTATCCAGCAGCCAGCACTGCCCCTCCAGCAGCCCCTCAAGCAGCCACATCAGCCCAGCCAAACCCATCCCGCTGTAGCACGCCCCAGTCCTGCAGCCAAAGAGAAGGAGGGGCTGAAAGAGAGGGGGCTGAATCTCCCCTCTTCCAGTCCAGATGCTCCTCCCCACTCAATTTGCTCCAGCTGGAGGAATCACCCACCAACCGGCTGGAGGCAGTGTCAGCGCTAGCCTCAGGGCAACAAGCCACGCCTCCTGTGGGAGGACAGGGGGGCGGGGCTGGGGCACAAACTTCAACAAATCAGAGAAGTCCAGCAGGGGATTCCAAAGAGAATGAAAATGTAAGAAAAATCACCTGCTTGGGCCTAAAAATGAAACAAAAACTTAAGCATTGTGTTTTTAAATTAGAACTTACAGAAGGCAAAGCACTGGCCTGTTAGAGTACAAATATAGTTCAGCAGCAAGAGCCTCATAATTACCCACTTTAAACATTATGATCGCAGTAAACAATTTAACCTTACAGAAGTCTACAGTTATTACTGTCAATTTGCTTTAGTATTTAAATATAATTACATAACTATATAGTTATGCAGGTAATGTAATGAATTACATGGTCACTGGAATTCTCCTCACTGACCTCCAGTCATGTGTCAGCATTTGTTTTTTACTGCCTCTGGTTAACTGTATGTTAACTGTATACAAACTCCTCAGGGAGAAGCCAATGAGTCGAACCAGGATGCCATGTCTACCTCCAGTGACCTGCTGGACCTGCTGCTGCAGGAGGACGCTCGCTCAGGCACCGGCTCAGCTGCCTCGGGGTCTGGCTCCTCAGGCACGGGGTCCTCAGGCTCTGGCTCAGGGTCATCTGGATCTGGCTCCAATGGCTGCAGCTCCTCAGGGAGTGGAACCAGTGAGTCCTACGCTAGTGCATGTTTGAAAATGAAAATGAGATCTTGTCACTGGTTTGATATAACTGCTAGGAATTTAAAGTGCACACATTTGTAGTTTACTACTGTTTAGTTAAGTCTAATGTAACCTAATTGCCATGCACATTATTACAGGCATGGTTAGTAGTTGTGCCCCTTTTTTGATTAAAGTCTGGTTGCACTGACTTATCTTTCCAGTACTCACAGTATGATATTTCAGAGCTTGAGCTGAATAACTAATACAAGAACAAATGTTTCTCTTGGTTCTCTTGAAGGAAGCAGTCAAAGCAGCCACACCAGCAAGTACTTTGGCAGCATAGACTCATCAGAGAATGACCACTCTCGAAAGCAGACAGCAGGGGGCGACGGAGAGGCACAGTTCATCAAGTGTGTTTTGCAGGACCCCATTTGGCTGCTCATGGCTGACACAGACGAGAAGATTATGATGACCTATCAGTTGCCCATCAGGTAACATATATAAATCAGCACACACATCTAATGGAAAGACCCCTTTAGAATGCAGCACCACAATCTGTATGATACAGAGCACCTCAGGTGTATTAGATTAGGGAAATAGCCAAACTGTGTTGGACTGTGGCCCTTCAGGAGCAGAATCTATGACCCTTGCTGCAAGTTGGAAGGCATGCAGTATCTTATATAAATGTATTGATACATCATTGCAAAACCCAATGTTATTGCATGATGTAGCACTATATCGTTGCATTACAGATGGTGCAGGTATATTTAATAAATCTGTGTCTGTGTGTGACAGAGACCGAGAGACTGTTCTACGTGAGGACCGCATCGCTTTGAGAGCCATGCAGAAGCATCAGCCCCGTTTCACTGAGGAGCAGAAGCGAGAACTGAGTCAGGTGCACCCTTGGATCCGCACGGGGCGCCTGCCACGCGCCATCAACATATCTGTGAGTTCCTGCAGTACAACACCTTACCATTTATAATAAAGTATCTCATAATGTTCTGTTCTGGGCTTTTACAGTACATCGGTTGCAGTTTCATAATTTTGCATTATAGAGATTTGCCAGTCAAGTTTTTGTTTTCCCCGATACCATATTCAGTCCCCCAGTCCTTTAATGCTGAGGAAGTGACAATCTAATATTTGTATTTTTATAGCTAGTACAGTTTTACACTTCAAGCACATAAAAGTTACTAAAACTAATCCAATTTAGGTACAATATGTTAGGTTGCCAATTACAATAACCACAGTAAAAACACTGACATTGTAGATATTCCACACTGTAGAAATTTAAAACACTTGTTAACTTATGAAAACTTGTCTCACTGTGACAGCTTGTGGATAATGTCTGTGTCACTGTCAATTCTAAGAAAGTGGTGTAAATAGAGCACAATGAGGTAAAATAGCCTCAGCAAAGAAATGGAATTTGATCAGACTTAATAGAGAATTACTTCTGTTTTTCAAAATTTCTGTATAATTCAATTGTGGAGATAATTGTTGAGTAACCAAAGTCATTCAGAGGGGTTTGATGTGACGTTTTACAGAGAATTATAGCATTATAGAGAAACTTATAGAGAAAGAGTTAATTTCTTTACAGTGGTAGTGATACGCAGCAGAGATCACAATGCAAATACAGCCGTTTTGTTTTCCAAATCTAAAATCTAAAATACGCTTTCTTTCTCTCCTGTTTTGCCTTACAACCTCTTACACATACCTGTCCACCATGAATAGATACCATGGGAAAAAATCTTATTTCAAACCCATGGCAAAAACAATGTCTCAAGCATCAAGCAGCATTTAATGTAATAATTATCTGTAAGGTAGCCTTTAGAGGCATTAAATGGATGGCTTTGGATATCCAGTACCACTTTGGACAATTCTGACTCAGAAAGCTTCTCTACATCTTAACGACTTAATTATACAGACATTTTTAAATTAAAGCAATACCCCTTAAACAAAGCTAGTACCATTACAGATTGGATTGGGACGTCTGTACTAAATGTATCAATTGAAATGTACAGATAATATACTATAATCCTAAGCAACATGACAGGCTGCCAGAATATAATTAACATGTTTTATGTAAAACACACCATTGGTGAGTTGTCACGTGGACTGACATTATCTTCTTTGTCTCCTTTCCTCCAGGCCTGTGTGGGCTGCAAGTCTCCTCCGTCAGTGCCGCCTGCCGCCCCTTTTGACGTGGAGATCCATGAGATGGAGCTATGCAGTGTGCTCGAGGTGACAGAAGAGGGCGCTGCTGCCGACAAACACACCCAGCCAGACACAGCCATGGAGGAGGGAGAGGCAGAGGGAGACGGAGAGATGGGGCAGTGGAGAGAGGAAGAAGAGGAAGAGAAACAAAGCGGCGTCATGATGATGCACGTCAATGACCAAGAAATGACGACCGAGGAGCAGGAAGTTACCTCACAAATGGAGGAGGACAAAGGGGGCAATGTGACGGACATGAGCCACTGAGGTGATGTCATTAGCCATTGATTGGTGGGAAAAAGGACTCCAAACTCACTGCTGATGATGTCCGCAGGTGTTGTTAATGGCAACAGGTACTTTTGGAAATGCACACTTACAATCATGACACTGTTCTTTTTAATGGGTCGTGGTTAACAGTCTGATTGTATGTTGTGCTTTTAAAAGAGGACTACAGCCTTAAGGCCAAGCCTACTGACCTTTGGGCCAAAGCTCTTCAAAACAAAAAGAACTACATCACTACAGTATGTTCTGAGTGTTACCAATGACATGTTGGAGTATAGCGTTATGTCATTGTGTCATGTGCTCTTAAACTAAAGTGAAGATTTTATTTGTTTTTCTACAAATAAAAACTCAGTATTTATTTGTATAGCTGAATTCAAATCAGTAGTGATTAAAGCCAGAAAACCTGACAGACAATGAATGTGAAACGAAAAGGCCACTTTATTGTAAAACTGTGACATCACTGCTCCACACGCTGCCATGAGTCACTTTCTTCAAATGAATTTATGACCTTTTGGATAATTTGATTTAATAGGGAAAGTGGGGTGATCAACTTAAGACCCTTTTATAATGTTCTTTTCAGCTCCAGCCTTGAGGATCTGCAGGACTGTATATTGTAACATAGACTCGCTCTGGCCAGCCTAGTTTGAACATACAATGTTAGTAAAATCAGCTGACAAGTAGATATATGTCATAATGTTTAGCAGGGGCGAAAATATGCAGCCTTGTGCATCTGCAGGCGTTTGGGTCAGTATCACTGCCTTCGCGGACGTCTGATCTGCAGTTTACTCATGCATTTCGACCAAATTTATTCAAGAAAAGATCCACAGGTTTCTTTTATTTTTGGAGGTTTATGAATATTTTTATACGTCATTGGTGTCGGCTCTGTTGTTTGTATTCTCCGTGCTATATCTGTTTAATCCACAAGTGGGTTGCTCATAACATGTTGGCAGCAGAAGCCATTTTAACTGCAGCTTCCTCTGACAAGTTCTTCAAAAAGCTGGTTATGAATGATTGGACAAAAACTGCCACAGTCTAGTCTTATCGCCAGCTCTGATTAGTTGATTGTTTCCACATTCATGCTAACAGTGAAAGTTCTCAAAGGCATTTGTAGCCAATGACATCTTCTGTGAAAGAAGAGGAGCAAAGATGTTGGCCAGTAAAGTGGACCCTCCTAGCCTAGAGGGCCTCTAAAAATGGACGCTGTGGTGCCTGTGTGGTCCCCTTTTCACTGTAGTGGCTTGCTTTAGTTATACGAGCTTGGCAATCAGAGAAGAAAATAATAGACTTCGAAAACAGCAGTTGACTTTAAGAAGATTGCTTAGGACCAGAGAGACTCTCTCTCTCTCTCTCTCTCTAACATCTTTCTTTTCTCCTCTATGTCGCTCTGTTCTGTTTCAATCATGTCGTGTTCAGCTTCAGTGGTCCTGAGCAGTTTGTAAGTATTTTTTTGTGAATTTCTTTGTATGAAAAAAGAAAATAAAATCAAATCTTGTTCACACTTTCTGTGGTGTGTCAGTGTTTCCAAACAATATTTGCACTGATTACTGAAGAATGCAATCACACAATGCACTGAAACAGGCACTGTAGTCTTTAAAAGAAAAGAGAGGAAGTGAAATGTTTTTTTTGGTTGTTGTTCTAAACCTCACTCTCATCTAGTTGAAGACAAGAATGCGCAGCGAGCTTTAAAAAGCCCAAGACTGGCCACATGGTGGCTTTACTGGCACAAACACTGTGGCACAAGCAGTATGAGCAGAGTGGGCTTGCATTCACATTTCATTTTAGTATACTGTACACACACAAGAACAATTACGATGATTATTATTACACAGACGGATGGGGGTCATAAAGGCAGATTTAATCACATGGTGCTGGTGCCAGTGGCCTTGGTTTGTGCTCTTCTACCCAGCTACAGGAGCAAAGCAGAAAAAAGATGAGTGGAATAGTTCTTAACATGCTCTTAGAAAAAGGGGTTCTTTAAGGGTCCTTTAGTAAAAAAGTTATACAGAACCATGGCAACTAAAGGAAACAGTGTGCTGCTTAAATGGTCCTCTGCAATTCAGAAACTGCACTCTAAAGGCTCCTAAAGGAGTTTTGGCTTGGACTTTAACTGGTATAGAACTTTTACATTATGTTGAGGTTCTTTAAACTTGAAAAGGTTCTTCACACTCACTTGTCTTTACAAAAATGATTATTTAAAGAACCAAAACTTTGAAACATTTTAGGGAACCAAAAGGGGTTCTTCTATAACTTTGCTCCGTAGAACCTTTCTTTAACAGTGAAAAGGCTGGACTTAGCGTGGAGCTGCATAAACTGATCGCCTGGTTCAGTGCGGTGCATGACAGTAAGTCTTCACATCAGTTTAATCTCACCTTAGTGAGGCGGCTGCAGTTTCTCACCACTTAGCTACCCGCAACAGCCTGATGACGACAGAGCTCAAACCTCAGCTCTGCATACATAGCGTGTAGTGTCTGTGGTTATTATTTTCACATGTGAAATTCCCCTTTTATATTATTCAAAGAAATGTTATGTCTGATAAGTGAACACCACAAGAGCTACTTGACCGTTATCTTCTCGACTTCTCCCCCAACTGCAACCGGCTACTCTCACAGACAGCCAAGGTGAGGCACAATTCATCTTAAACAAGCCCAATGTCTGCCATTCTAATCCTGCTACAGTCACCTCCACAAAGTTATGATGTACAGTTATTACATTTTCTATTGCATGTATTATTATTATTATTATTATTATTATTATTATTATTATCATTGTGCATAGTCTTCATAATGGGGAACCTGTTGTATAGAGCCCTATAAAAGTTTCTGATACTGTTGCTAGTTATAAAACTCTTTTTTTCAGTACTATATAGAACCTGAAATGACTTCTATGACTTATATTGACACTAAAATTCTCATAGATAGACTTGAGAACTGTCTTAAAATGGCTCAGTTCATACCTGCAAGGAAGAGACTACTTTGTGGAAATAGAAAATAATGTTTCTGAGAGCGTGCCAGTGACCTGTGGTGTCCCCCAGGGTTCAATTATTGGGCCACTCCTATTTAATTTATACATGCTGTCTCTTGGCCAAATACTACAAGACTTTGGGATATCTTACCACAGCTACGCAGATGATATATAGATCTACTTGGCCCTCTCCCCAAACAAATATAGTCCCCTTCACTCACTTTGTAAGTGCCTTGAACACATCACTACCTGGATGGGAAAAACTTTCTGCAATTGAATAAAGATAAAACAGAGATTCTTTTATTTCGGAATAGCAATGAGAGGGACAGACTAGTTTAATTTAAGAGCCATAAAATCTAAAGAAATAGTATGTAACCTTGGTGTATTAGCATTTATGTCAAAGCAGTGACTAAATCAGCATTTTATCACCTTAAGAATATCAACAAGATCAGAGATTTTCTAACTAAACTAGACCTGGAGAAACTCATCCATGCTTTTATTTCTAGGAGAATCGATTACTGTAATGGTCTTCTAATCGGACTCCCCAAAAAGACAATCAAAAACCTTCAGATGATTCAAAATGCTGCTGCCAGAGTCTCATTAGGAGTCCTTATACTGGCTTCCAGTAGACTTAAAGGTGCTTTTACTGGTCTATAAATCACCCTATAATGTAGGGTCAGCATATTTATCTGATACATTGCAGTGCTTTGAGCTGAGCAGAACTCTCAGATCACTAGAAATTAGTCAGTTAGTCCTGCGGAAGGTGAAGACTAAACATGGAGAAACAGCGTTTAGCTACTATGCTGCTCTTAAATGGATCTAGTGGACAAAGAGCATTAGACACTAAACTTTTAAATCCAGGCTTTAAATGACTTTGCATTTTCTCATTTGTAAAGCACTTTGAATAACAGCAGAGTATGTAAGGTGCTATACAACTAAAAAAGAAAAGGAAACATAATCTCCATGATGGAGGACCTGTCGGAAATGGTCCTTTAAAGACTCTTTTAGGATCCTTTACTGCACCAGCACCATGCCATCACTGTTAGAACAAAACTTGTTTGTCAATTTTTGATTTGCAGAATTTGAAAATGGCTGCTGCCCTTTTTCCATGATGAATGGAGCAATAAAAAGCTCCAAAATTACTTGGAAAAAGAAATCTTGCTCCATTAACTTCTATTGAAAGTTAAGAATGTTTTTTTTTCTTCTCCTGTAAATTTACCACTTTGGTGATACAAGGCTTTGTTCCAACAGTGATGATACAGTGCTGCAAATAACCTTTTAAAAAGAGTTCTACTTGACCAAAAAGGGTACTACTGCTGTTACAAGTCATGGAACCTTTTAGTACTATATAGAACCCTTTTTTGTGAAGAATGAAGTAAACAAAAAAAGACTAAAATGAAAAGAAACCATATTTTAAACACAGGGCTTCCACTGTAGTAGAGGTCTCCATTAAAATGCATTTACAGGTTGAAAGCCTTCCTGTTAAATGTATGAAGTGGGTTCAGAGTGGCTCTATTCAGAGAGAGAGAGAGAGAAAAGGGCAGAGAGCCAATAGGAAAAGAGTTAAGCACTTACTCCTGCAGTGTGGACTTTCACTCCCACATACAAACATCAGTGTTCACTATCACTGTTTGAATACTGGATCCTTGACCATTTAACAAACACAGGGAGACACAGCACACAGTCCAAACACACAGCTTTCCCCACAAATCACACTTACATATACAAGCCTGTGGAAAAGCCAGACACAATAAACAGGCTTGGATTAGATGCATGTTTGGGTGTTTTGATTTAATTGTTTTTTTTTCTTCATCCTTCTATCCAGTGCCATCTGGGGGCCATTCCTACATTTCCACTCCTCTTTTCCCTTCACTCCTTCCCTTCCCTTCCCTTCCCTTCTCTCTCTCTCTCTCTCCTCTCTCTCTCTCTCTCTCACTTTCCTCATCTCAATCCTGCATTTATGAAGCCTCCTCCTCTCTCCTCCTCCACGTCCCTGAAGTCTCCTCCTCTCTGCCGTGTTCTGTCACTCTGTCCTCGTCTGTTCCTCTCTGAAAGGAAGGATGAGGGGTGGTGTGAGTGTGTGGTGTTTGGGCCTGTTGTTTTTGGGGGTTGCGATGGGTTCACGGACAAAGCCAGACCAACTTCACCAGGTAAGAGTATGTGTGGGTATGTGTGGGTGCGAATGCATGCATGCACTAAGCAGGTATTCATGTTGCCCTGTTTATGTTTATATATGTGTGCGCGAGGGTGTGTGTGTATGTGTGTGTGTGTGTGTGTGTGTACGTGTGTGTGTTGGACTGGGTGCTCACTGTATAACTGTTACAACTGTTTGAACTCCTTGTGTTCCTTAAAAAGTTCTCCAAAAAGTTTAATTCTGTCTGTCTTTGCCACTACCGTCTTAAAACACCTGCTTCACCAGAATTATCTGAAAGAGACTGCATTCTAAAATGTAAAGGGAAAAGTATTAAATAACAACACACCTACCTGTGTTACCCTTTTTAACACATCTGTGTTCATTTTAAGCACAAAATGAGCATTGTACTTTGAATTTTGCTTGTGAACACTCAAACATCAGTAGACAAAGTTGACCAGATCTGTACTTGAGTAAAAGAAGAAATACTCTCGGTGAAAGACTTTACTGAAGGGCAGTGCTCATAAGGTATAAACTTTTTTAAAGGCCTATTCCATCAAGCTGATGAGGCGAAATGACATTAAAAAGACTAATACAGTCTTTATGAGAACTGGCACTTGATGAATCAGCCTTTATAGATGTTTATGTAGGTTTATATCAGTTGTCGTGAAAGGCTGATGTTTTTCATGTGGCCGTACAAATGCTGCTCTTCAGTAAAGTGAGTAAAAGTACAGATATTCTGTATTAAGTAAAAGTACAAAACTACTGGTTTGTGAATGTAGTCAAAAATACTTTGAAGTATTTGAAATTTTGTCTTCTTGTCTGGAGTCACGCAGGTCTAAATCGAATTTGTTCATAACAAAATATCACCAATGTCAGTCATTTTACATTTGATTCTTTCACATATTACATTCACAAACTAGTACTTGTACTTTTACTTAAGTAATATTTTATCAGAGTATTTCTACTTTTACTCAAGTACAGAACTACTATTCTTTGACCACCCAGGTTAAAAGTAAAGATTTCTAACCAGTTCTTGACTTGGATGTACAGTCTTATGAAAAGCTTTTAGGACCTTTATGTTATGTGGAGGTTCTTTAAACTATAAAGAGGTTTGGTTCACATTTAAAAAAGAAAAATATTTCTTTACAGAATGAAGGTTCTTTAAGGAACCAATGTACAAGATATTCATTTTTCAGCATCAGGAAAAAAGCAGAAAACATCTATTTTGCAAAAAATTACATTAACAACTAAACATAATATCCTATTTTTCAGCACACTCTGCTTTAATTGCAGTGTGCATTCTTTTCAGGAGACTTTCTTTCAGTTTTTCAGAGAAATCTGCAGAGATATTTTTCACACCTCCAAAGTTCAGTCTTAGAAGTTGGTTTCATTTTCTGCTCCACATTTCAAGTAACCCTAAACATATTCAATGATGCTGAGGTCTGGACTCTGAGGTGAACGGTTCTGAACAACAGCTTCTCTTCTTTTTTGTCTATTTCCTCTTCTCAGTAATGGCTTCTTGAGAGCTACACATCCTTTAAGACTCATTGCATTGAGTTGGATTTTCTCAGATCTGAAGTACGAGTGGAGCTTTGATTTTTTCCTCTCTCTCAAAGATGAAAGCTATAAGTACTGTTTATCTGATGGTGACAGTTACGGTGGTCTACCAGATCTTACACGGTTGTTAGTCCCATTTTCTCTATAACTTTCAACAATTCTGTGTTTCCACTTGTTTGTCTTATATCTAATCTCCTCTTTTTGAGGAGATCAGATATAAAACAGTCCACTTGCATAAGACAGGGGTCTTATGTATGTGGACTGTTTTATATCTAATCTCCTAAAAATATATATCCTCTGAAAAGTGAACTGCAACTGAGAACAGACAATTTCTCTTGAAGTTTAAAAAAGAAAAAAACACAACAGCTGGCAGTTCTCACTGACTTCTGTTCCTTAAAAAACTCCTCCAAAGAAAGACCCATTTGTAACGCATAAATTAGGAAAAACAGTAGAGTTCACAATGGGGCTCTAGGCCGCTTTGCGATGCTTATGCCAAGCAGCATGTTTGTGGGTAAATGGGGTGGTGTTCCAGCCAAAGCACCACATCTGAGTCTCAGTGCAGTTATAGCTGAATGTGTGAAAGGCCTTAAAAAGCCGAGTCTGTTTGATAACAGCGCAGCTTTTGATTAAGCATGAACCTGTTTGATGTAGATCTGAAACTGAGCTGTTTTATATCTTTTGAAGCATTTATGCGTGAGGGAGTGTATGATGGACGAGCGTGTGTATGTGTGTGAGTTCACTCAGTGAAGATTTTATGAGGCCCCTAATTGGCAGTTTAGCAAATAACTCCTCAGTGTTGTGTTTTATTTCAAGGAAAATGCCTTAAAATTCATTACATGGAAACAAGTACATCACTCACTTAAATGAAACCGCTCAAAGTAAAACGAGACATGTATGTGTGGTATCTGTCTTAAAAAGAGAGATGAGGTTTCCTCTGTTGAGGGTGTTGGGACAGTATTGGAAATATGTCTTCAAAAAAAAAAAAAACGAAGTATCTGTATTTAGTCCACATAACATTTTAAAAGGCAGTATTCAGAAAAGTTACTTTTTACATTTTACATTTTTAGAAGAAAACTTTTAAAATTGTTATCTAAAAGAACACTGTCAATGCTTGATTATTAACTATTTTAGCTAAGAACTGTTTTTATGTTTGTTAAATGTTTATTTTTACCACAAGTAATGTGTTCTCTGCACACATGGCACACATCTATGTGCTTAATTGGAGTTTCTGGTGGGACTTTTCAGGCAGGCAAACTTATGTTAATCCATAGATTAACAATGTGCTTGTCGCTGTCGGACAGTGTTGACGACCGCACCGTCATAATACATTTTAAGTCGTGCTTTCACAAGTTGTAAGATTGATTTGGACATTTCTTTCAGTTAAATCCCACTCTGTCAACATTACCACCAACATTCAGCCCCCATTCTCCCAAGACGTTCTCATTACGAGATGTTTGACCCCGCGAGACTGATGTAGTGGACATGCTCATGAGTGATAAGCTTAGCATAGGTGTTGTACTGGACTCATGCATCTGTTTTACATTTATGTGGAATATGACAACTCACGTATCACAAAAGATACGAATCTATATCTTTTATGTGGATTCAAAGTAAAGTAAAGACGTTTTGCCATCTCTTGTAAAGTTACCATTTTGGAGATACTTGTTTTAATTTGGAAAGAGATGACACTGTGATGTGGACAGTGCTCACAAGAAACTGGACATCTCAAAGTTCTGGTCCATAACTCAGCTTTGCTTGACTTAACCCGGAAAACACAGTTCTCAGGCTAGCTTACCACTCTTACTGTTAGCTGGTTCTCTCTAGCTTGCTACAACAATGCACAGCCCTGGCAGTTCCTAGGCCTACCCTTCACAACAAAAGCCCATGCAAAAGAAGCAAGCACGCAAATTGCTAGTGAATCACACAAATGAATAATAAAATTAACATGCACAAACATTTTCTGAATAGGCTACTTATTACTTTAATACTAAACAGAACATAGGCGTGCTCTCACGCCACAATATGTAACCATTTTTATGTGTTGGAAAAATGTTACTAAATACATTTAGTCAGTATGTGAAATACCCCCTGGTATTTGGGGGTTCCCATGTGGGCTGGCTACTCCAGAATTTGCTGGCTGCTAACTTACTTGCCATAGCGGTGCTGATGCTAGCTTCACTGGCAGCAAAATGTTTATTTCAACTTCTCTTTTGGTATTGCCTTTTTCTAATTTGGTAATGCACATTTCCACACATTAACTGAGATCTTACACATCCAATCCTTTGTCTTCAGTTTGAGAAATGAGTAACAATTCACTCTTTTCACCAAACTTGGGAAACTGGGCAAGCTATCAGATTTACACATTTGCTTTGGTATATTGTAAAGTTTTTCAGAGGTATACTGGGCATAGTTTCAGTTGCTAGGCTATAATTAACCCATTGGGTAACCCATTTTACTACAGCGCCACCTTGAGGCAGACCACTGCTCTCTAGCTAGTTAAGAACACCAAAGACAGAAGTTCACAGAAGCTCCACCCTAAACAGTGACATTACGCTGAATTTATATTTAAGCGTCTATTTTTCCTGAACGAACAGCATCATGTAATAGGTTAATTGTCAGGGATCCCACTCAGAATTTAGATTTTAAGACATTTGGGGGTCCAAGAGGTTAATTAGGGGGTTCCAGACCCGCCCCCCCCAGCACCCCTTGTATTTTTCCCAACTCTGTCTCTTGGTGAAGTGACTGAGCTCACATCATGCTGGTCAGAGTTAACCGTCTGCGTGTCTGTACTTGTGCGTGTTTGTGTGTAAGTCCACCTTCCTAGATTGCCACTGTTGGTGCCAACACTGCTGCCAACACTGCTGCCACGTGCAGAGATTTTTTCTCCAAACATAGTAAATGATGCTCTCCTCTCTCTCTCTCTCTCTCTCTCTCTCTCTCTCTCTCTCTCTCTCTCTCTCTCTCTCTCTCTTTCTGTAGGCCTGTCTTCCTGTGTGGGGGTCATTTAGTAACAGACTCAGGTTTTGTGGCTAGTGAAGATTTCCCCACTCACTACAAACCCAACTCTAAATGCACCTGGTACATCACTGTGAGTTCCTCCTCTCTCATCTCTCTCCCTCTTATCTCTGTAATAACACATTTATCACAGCTGTAGAAACATAATTACACATATACAGAACTGTGCAAAAGTCTTAGACATCTGAAAAAATTATATGTAAAGCTGTTTAACTGGGCAGCAAACCTTTACTGGTTCAAAAACACTGACATTAGAATAAATACAAATTACCAAAAAACAATACACTGTGATTTGATGATTTGATGTGTGTATTAGCTTAACCATTTCCAGACCTCTCCTCGTAGCAGTCCTGTATTTACAGTTACCAGCCAATATCTGCTTCAAATAATCAGTCTTTTGTTAAATTAAATCAAACGTGCTTTTGATGAAATTCAACGTATCCATACAGCTAGAAGTCAGGAACCAACCCTGATCTTCTAACTGTATTCTGATATTCAATATCGTAATAAGTTGTTTATTGCATATAAATTACATATAAACATTTTCCTGCGTCTGTGATGCGGATGTTACTCACACCTCTCAGAACTAAGAAATGAATTCTAAACACAACAGCCTTACTGTTATTTTACCATTCACAACAGTTTTAAAGGTGATTTTGGAAGGTTTCTTCCTTTCTTTTTGGTGAAATGGATGCTTCAAAAGTAAGCTTCCACTGGACACAGAACTGCACCCAGTGTCTTGTGCAACTGCAAGCATAAAACAGTTCAATGACATCATGTCTTTGAGTAATTGTATGGTTTATGCAAAACTATTTTAACATATTCACTGAAATTTTAAGCATTGTGTTATTTAGCTATTGGCTTGCTAGTTAGTATTTTGGTTGTGGTAGTGTCAGTTTCCTGAGTTCCTCGGCCTGAGAGAGAGAAGCAAAGCAAAGCTGTAAAGCAGTGGTTCTCAGTCCTGGTTCTGAAGTGTCACTGCTCTCTGCATGTTGTAGTGTTTTCACATTCACTTCACCTTAGAAAGGGCTGAGAGCAGGAGATTCTAAAATATGCAGATCAGTGTTATTTAGGACCAAGACTGACCAGAACCACTACCCATAACATTCAAACAATTGTAATTTTTTAAATGTAACTGTTAAATTATTTCTAAAATCTTCAAAATAGTTCTAAAATAATACTTTCCCAGGTCTTAACTTGAGATGGGAAAAATATTACAGATGGAGTATACTGACCTGCTGCATTAGCAGTACATTAGAGTTTCTAAAACAGGGGTGCCCAAACTTTTTTCCTCAGAGAAAGGGGTGAGGTTAGGGTAACTTTCTCACAGTCCAACTTTGGGCAGCCCTGTTTTAAAAGCAATGCTGCAGACTTTTTTTTGTTTTGTGCTCCATAGAAGCTCATAGGTGGTCATTTTTTTGCCATTTCTGACTTTAGAACCATGCATTTCACAAAAATCCCCAAAATCATTTAAACTAAGTCTTCAAAAAAGAAAATAAATCTTTTTTTTTGCAGGTCCCAGAAGGTCAAGTGGTCATGCTCCAGTTCAGAATCTTTGATCTTGAGGCTGACCCCACCTGTCGCTATGACTACGTGGATGTGTATAACGGTCACTCGTACACGGTACAGAAACTGGGCCGTTTCTGTGGAACGTTCCGGCCGGGAGCACTCATCTCCACCTCCAACACCATGATGGTGGAGATGGTGTCTGACTCCAGCAGAGGAGGAAGAGGATTCCTGGCCTTCTTCAGTGGAGGAAAACCGCACGTGGATGGTTGGACATTTGGTTTGCTGCACTGTTGATTTTCTGTCATCAGTACTACCATTGTTTTTAATCTTTCTCACACCAAAGCTCTCTTTCTTTCCTCTCTCCCTCACTCTCTTTTTCTCTCTTATATGGTTTTCCCTCATTATCTCTTTCCTCTCTCATTTTCTTGTTGTCTCACTTATTCTTTCTTTCTTTCTTGCTCTTCCTCCCTCCCTCTCTCTTTCTTCTCACTCTGTTATCTCTCTGTCTCTCTGTAGAGAATCAGTTCTGTGGAGGCAAATTAACTAAGCCTGAGGGTTCCGTGAAGACTCCGAACTGGCCGGACTCTCATTACCCAGCAGGCATCAGCTGCTCTTGGCACATCACCGTGGCAACCAACATGGTCAGCATGCTGAGCCTCACTTCACGCCTCTTTCTCTCGTGTCGGCTCTTTCTTGGTTTCTTGGTTTCTTGGCTGTGTGAATTTGATTTATGTTCTTCTCTGTTGGTTTTAACAGCAGCTGTTAGATTAGATCTGATTTGACAAGAGAACATTTGAACTGGTTTATTGGTTTGTGTGAGTGTGAGTGTGTATGTGGTTGTTCATATGAACATATATGTGTGTGTGTGTGTGTGTGTTTGTGTGTGTGTGTATACATGTATGTATGTGTGCGTTGCCTGAGACTGAGAGACCCCATTGAAAGTGTGTGTTTATGGAGCAAGAGCGAGAGAGAGTGAGAGAGAGAGATAGAGGGCGAGAGAGTTTCATAAAACGTTGTATGAAAGACTCTTTATGCCTGTAGCTGCTACGCCTTTTCCTTTCATAGTAACTCAATGCTGTACATACAGTTACATAACTACATAGCACAGCTATGTGCATTAAGACCAACACTATAGGCAAACCTGCATGTGCTTGTTTGTGTTTGTTTATGTGCATGTAATCATTCCTGCAGGTGATTGAGGTGAAGTTTGAAAAGCTGGACATTGAGGCAGATATGTACTGTCGCTACGACTATGTGGCGCTGTTTAACGGAGGGGAGTCGGACGATTCTCGACGTATAGGCAAGTTCTGTGGAGAGAGAGTGCCAGGGTGAGTCATTCCTCAAAATTTTTAACCCCTAACATGGCCAGGGCTCACCGGTGGGCCCAAAGTTTTAGTACACACTTCTATAACCTGAGAACAGCTCCACCAGTTTGCACTGAAGTCCTTGTAGTTCCTGAACAAGCTTTAGTATGTAATAAGCCTGGGATTTTAAGGGGTTAAAGTTATTTTTAGAGCAGCATGTCTGGACATGTGTAAGAGCATGCTCCTCTCTCTGAGAATGTGGTAGCTACTGATGCCCCATAACAGGAAAAGGAAGGCTGTTTTTGTTTGCGCTGGGTCAGCAGCATAGTGGGAAGATTTTGTAAATTTTGTGGACGTTTTGTTTCCCACTGTTTCTCAAACCTAGCTTTTTTTAAACCATACGCTATACAAAAAAAACCTGAAAGCTCACCACTGTGCCTACGTGTGCCACTGGTAGATAACTTGCATTGTACATAAAATACTGTTTAAATGTTCTACACCATCAAATGATAAGTAAAGTTATTTATCTGGGCAGTAAACATTTAGTTGTTCAAAAACAAATACTACTACTACATTAGAAAAATATAAATAAATAAACAACACCTTGTCATTATGTGTCTGTCAGTGTGTTGACTTAACTACTTACAAACACATATAGATGGTCATCTTGAACATCTACTCATGTCATGCATAATCTGGATATGTACACATCAGTATTCTATCCCCTGTGTACCCTGCATTTCATTTATCTACCTCAGACTCATAAATTGCACAAATGGAAATGTGTAAAAACTGTACATATCATAGCTTTTTATTTCATAACTATATTACTGTGCATAACTACTGGAAATTGTGCCATAGTGGTGTATATTGTGTATATGTGTCTATATTTAGAGGCTAATGTGTGTGTATACATATATATATATATATATATATATATATATATATATATGTGTATATATATATATATATATATATATATATGTATACACGCACATTAGCCTCTAAATATATATCTATATATATCACATTTACACAGGTGCAAAATTTACACACATTTACACCTAAGATTTCCACTTACTTTCGCACCTGTGTAAATGTGAAATGACAATAAAGCTGATTTGTTTTGATTTGATTTGATTTTATTTGACCTCTCCTCGAGGAAGTCCATTATTTACAATGAACAGTCAATACCTGCTTCAGCCAATCAGTTTTTCCTTCAGTCCTTCATTAAATTAAATCGGGGTGCTGCTAAAGGAATTTAACAAATGCATGCAATGGCTGGGCTGCACAGGGAAGTCAAGCACCAAAAGTTTGTTCTTTAACCAAAATAAAACAAGAAATGTAACGTTACATCATGTTTAACATGTAAAAAACAAGCTTACTGTCCAGATTAAAATTTTAAACAATTTTAACAGCTGCCTAAGACTTATGCAAAGTACTCTATATGACTTTTATTTACACTGCTCACGCAAACTGGGGACACCTTACTTGCAGTCCCTGGTATGCAACCCCCTATGAAAATGATGTATGTTGTTAGGTGTTGACAACATATTCCAAAACATACACTGGGGTCCAAATGTCTGAGACTGCTAGTGAAAATGCTTCTATTTAACATTCCTTGATAATTTAATACACAATTTATTATATTATCAGCATAACAGATAGAGAGAAAAGTAAAATCTATGAGAAATTTACATGAACTTCAAAAATATATCAATATTTGCTATGTCCTTCCTCTGCTTCAATGACAGTGAGCACTCACGCTGGCATGGACTCCACAAGTTTGTGCAACAGTTTCTGATGAGTAGATCAAATCGATGAAAGAGATAGGACTAAAAACATCTGACCTTTTGGAACAAAGGCCTTAACATGTTTAATGCCACGAATGAATAGTGACCTGCTTATAACATTTCTTTGTTTTTAATTTTTTTTTTTTTATTCTAAAAAAATCTGTTTATTTCCAGTTACAAAACAATCCCAAATTTTCCCAAAATCCCACATTTTCAATATGGTCTTAAACTTTTGGACCCACTATAACTAGAATGTATTATAACATGTTTTCAACAAATTATTTTTTGTATGGGGTAATTGAACATCAAATTCAAATCTCTTTAGGTCTTTCCATTTTTCTTTGCAAAAATGCAGAACTGAAGAAACAACTTACAAAAGCACTGCTTTGGGAACAATGTCAAACATGTGCTTTTAACAAAAAACTGGAAAAGATTCTTCTTTATAATAAGGAAGACATTTAAATGAACTTGAAGCTGAGTGTTTTAATATGTAGTATTAGTTAATTAATTAGTTAATTTATGTTAAACCTTTGCAGGTATTTTTCTTACTTACTTGAAAAGTAATAGTAAAACATAAAACAGTATTCTGACTTTTTTAAAAACACAGTGCAGTGTATTCAATACTAAGCTGGGGTACCTGGATCAAAAAGAGTATCACTAATAATCACTTTGTGTGCAATTATGCACTTTTTTTCTATATGTGTACACCGTTTCTGCAAAATGTGTCTCTGAAAGGAACTAAATACTAGGCTAAAGTATTATGAAGTTGTGCTAAAGTAAATGCTAAAGATGTATAGAACACAGTCTGAATGAAAGCAGTAGTATCAACAATACTAACATTTTATCATGCTTTCTCTTTGCCACAGAGGGATCGTGAGCAATGGGAATGAATTGTTGGTGCAGTTTGTGTCTGACCTGAGTGTGACAGGCTCAGGCTTCATGTTGCACTACTCCAGCATCCCCCGAGGCTCCCGAACCCCCACAGCAGACCTGGATACAGTACCTGGAGCAAGAGTTGACCCTCTACCTGTTATCCCCACTGCTAGACCAGCTGGACCTGCTAGACCTGCGTCTAAACCCAGAACAACACCCAAGCCTAAGTTGGTTGTTAAACCTAAAGCGACACCTAAACCTCCGTCTAGGCCACCGAAGCCTAAGCCCCCCAGACCAGCTCCTCCCAAGCCAGCGGTCAGGTCTACAAGCAAGCCGAAACCAGCAAGACCCACACCCAAACCCAAGCCCAGACCTGCACAGAGGCCTGCAGCTAGGGTCACACCAAAACCTGCAGTAAAACCAACACTGAAGCCTAAGACTAAACCAACACCAAAGCCTAAGGTTAAACCAACGCTGAAGCCTGGGGTTAAGTCCACAGCTAAACCACTTTCTAGGCCAGCAAAGCCAACACCTGCATCTAGAGCCAAGCCTGGAGTGAAAACATCACCTAAACCAAAGACCACAGGCACAACAGGAACCAAGAAAAGTGAGTAGATCTGAGCTGTAGTGGTTTTCTTTAGAATCAGTTTTATTTCACCAAGTATGGTCCACATGTGAGGAGTCTGTCTTGGCAAACATGCGCATGTATGACATTAACCAGACAAATACGCAAGAGTGCTAGCACATATTCAACATGACATATTAAAGTAAACATGTATAATAACTAAAATGAAAGATGAGAAATTAGATCTAATAAGAGTTTGGAATCTCTTACTGTTATTTTATTCTATATTAACTTATTCAGTGTGGACTTAAACACTAGACAACAGAAGGCATTTCAAGATTTGATATTTCACATTTTTTTGGGAACATCAAGAAGTTATTGATCACTATGTTTCAAATTCTAAATTCTGGATGTTCATTTCATTCCCTGTGTTTTACAGCACTTTCAGCCATTATGGATCATGTACAGCTTTGTTCATCATTCTGGACACATTTAACATTTCTGTATATTTTACAGCGTCCAACTAATTAGTTGAAAGTTATGAAATTGTAACATAGTAGCACTGCAACAGAATCATTTTGTGCATGTATCAGTTACAGAACTGTTTTTCTGGTATTCACGAAATTGATTTTGCTGTACATACATGACGAATCTGAGGAGACGTGTGTGATAAGCTCATTCATCTCTGTTCTCCTCAGCACCAGTAGGAGATCCACAGTGTGCACAGCCATGCAAGAGGACCGGCACTCTTCTGACCAGCTTCTGTCCCAGCCACTTCGGTAAAACTGCTCCTTATAGACCTCTCACTTTTGTCACTTCTCACTATTAGAGTCAGTTTCAAACCTGTTAATCTAGACTTTCCAACAGAGACAGTGCTGACATTTAGTTACCAACTAAAGATACTGATAATACAATTCGTGTAAATGGTCGCTGTCTAGATAAAGCCTCATATCTCCACAAGGTAGCTTTACAGGAGAATCGGTCTATAAATTCTACTGGAAGTTATGGAAGAATTTCTTTCATATACATACTTAGAAATTACAGAAATTATCTTTGGTCATCTTTTAAAAATGTGCTAGATGTGTATTACTGTGTAGTTTTGTATATATACTTCTGAATTTCAGTTCATTTCTATATGCTTAGTAATGGCATTATCTTTTCTCTGTCTGTCTGTAAACACTTGCTTAACACTCTACACTGACACATCAAAGAGATTTTGCCTTTGGTTGTATGTGAAAGATATGCCAGATATTCATATACTTCTAAATTTCTAAATTTTGATCAAATTCTATACACACAATAAGGGCATTATCATTATATCATGCTCTCACACCCCAAACTCTTTTTTCTCTCTCAGTGGTGACGGGCAAGATCACTTCGCTTACCCCAGGCTCCGGTGGCAGTGTTGATGTGGACGTGTCCATTATCAAAGCCTATAAAACAGGCCGACTTAAAATCACCAAAAGAGGACCCATCATGTCCATCACTCTAACTGCTCCCTGCTCGAAATGTCCCGCTCTACGTAAAGGTACATCACACTGATCTCTAACAGCTTGCTTAGAAAACGTTTTATGCAACTGATGCCATATAGCTTTCAGGACAAGGAAAAGCATTATTTTTATTAAATATTTATATATATATATATTCAAATATATTCATTCATTTAAATGAAAACACTTTGTTTGGTTTGTGGCTAAGTGTCAGTCTAACTATCTGATTCTTTATCATTTCAGGAGTTAACTATGTGCTGATGGGTCAGGTGAATGAAGAGGGGCGTGGCATTCTGAACCCATCCAGCTTTGTCCTTCTTTATAAGGCAGTTCATGACAAGGCACTGGTCAATCTTGCAAAGAAACCATGCTGACCTCACCTTTACTCTACCAATCAACAGGTTAGAAGCCAGTATTAATCATCCTGAAGTATAACAGTCAGAATCAAAGTCATATTACAACTATTAACAAATAAATCACTAGTATAAGAGTTTTCAACAGACTGTCAGTCATCCTGGAGGAATGAAAAGAGTCTTCACTTTTAAGTGTTATTGACCTCAACATGCAATTCAGGTCTCAATGGAATATCAAAGACATAAGATGTCTGTATACTTCTATGTTCATGAAGGGTAAAACAGTAAGACTGCATTGATTCAAATGTTGTGAACTGTTCTTAAATGTTCACCTATAAAGCAAAATCAGGGTTTGTTCTTATATCTTTTCAGACTTTCTGACAGATTTAAGTCACCTTTCAAAATATGTGGTGATATATAAAAGTACACTGTTGTGTTGTGTTTTTGTGCTACACAGACATCATGATATAAAACGTATTTTTCTTTTTAAATTATAAAAATTCTGTGATTAAAGGATTTTAACTACGATTTTAAGTACATGCTTTTGCTTTACATCAGTTGTTTATTAAAAAGTGCTAAAAAGGAACATGAATAAGCTTCCCTACATATGAAAACACTAGTGTTTAATTATCTATACTGTTTAATTTAGCTATACACTCTTTAAAAAGAGGGTTCTTCAAGGGTTCTTTAGTAAAGAAAATGGTACTATATAGAACCATGAACACTCAAAGAACTCAGAGGGTTCTTTGCATTATGAAAGGGTTTTTGAGATTGATGGAAAATGTGGTTTTCACCTTTTTGAAAAGGGTTCTATACAGCACCAAAAAAGTTCCACTATTGTTGCAAACCAAAGAACACTTTTTGGTACTATATAGAACTCTTTTTGCTAAGAGTGTTGTAAAAATGTAAAAAAAATCTGTTGTTCATGTTACTAAATGAGTTTATCAGAGTCGGCCTAAAACATACCTATTCAATCTTTTTCCCCGGTGAGGCCTCCGTCCCAGTTTTTAAGAACTTGAGCACCCTTCAACAAAAACACACTCACTAACAAACTACTGCACTATATACTTACACTCTTAAACTCTTTAGTAAAGAAAATGGTTCTATATAGAACCATGAACACTCAAAGAACCTTTTGCATGATTAAAGAGTTCATCAGAGTTCATTCTTTGCATCGTGCAAGAATTCTTCAGATTGATGAAAAACATGCTATAGATGGTTTTACATAGAACCTTTTTGAAAAGGGTTCTATATAGCACCCCAAAAAGGTTCTTCTATAGTGATGATGTCAAGCTTGTAACGCACCATTTTGGATGCTATATAGAAGCCTTCTCAAAAAGGTCCTCTATAGACCCCTCTACATCGCACATTTTCCATCAGTCTGAAGACCCCTTTCATAATGCAAAGAACCCTTATCATGGGTTCTTTGAGTGTTCATGGCTCTATATAAAACCATTTTCTTTACTAAAGAACCATTGAAGCACCATCTTTTTTAAGAGTGTATAAAAACAGGTTCTTTTGGAAATTAAACGTTCCATTTTGGAAAGGCAGCTAACTGACCTGCTGCCACTAACTCCCACTAACTTGAAATGAAATTTGACAATTTATTAACTGAATGAAATGAACTAACATTACTATACTTAATGAGAAATAAGTCAGTTTCACAGATCACAAAATTAAAAATAGTCTCAATATAAAGTCTTTTTAATGTAATTTTTTGCTGTTTTCCCATTTCACCCCTCACCTGCGCCCTCCTACAATTCCTTTACACCCCACAAGGGGTCGAGCCCAGTCCTAAATGGCTCACTTGCAGTCCGCAGGGCTAAAGGCTCCATTTGGTTCAGGGCTTTTGAGTAGCTATGGCCCAGATTATAATCAGTCATTAGGAACTGAGGCCTAGTTCAATGTCTCCATCTAGTGGATGAGATGGATGGTGCCGCATGCAACGAAGTCCAGTGTTGGAATGAAGTCAAAACAATAAGTAATGGAAAATGACTATCTCTCATCATCACTAAGACTCATTCATTCAGTCTCTCTCTCTCTCCTTTCCCACACTGCTGTCTATTTTTACCATTCCACACTCATTCCGCTCTACTATAGCATCCCTTAGTGTTATGTTACTGTGAGATGGGGGCAGGGGGTGAGACAGAGAGAGAGAGAGAGAGAGAGAGAGAGAGAAAGAGAGAGAATCTAAACTGTAAAAAATTATGCAGCTTTAAAATATAAAAAAGTAAGTAAACCGGGTTAACTTGAAATTTTGAGTTAATTGGACTTAATAAGTTGACAAATATAAAACATAATTATTCCTCTGTTAATATTAATAATCCACTAAGGTCAGAATTTCAAGTTAACCTGGTTTACTCACTTTTTTAGGTTTCAAAGCTGTATGACTTTTTACAGTGTATGAATGTGGAGTGTGTTTTTGTGTATGAGACACTGAAAGTGGGTTAACTGTGAAACAGTATGTGTGTATGAATGAGAGAGAGAGAGAGAGAGAGAGAGAGAGAGAGTGTGTGTATAAGACAGAGTGAAAGTGAAAGAAGGGTCAGGTGTGAAAGAGTATGTGTATGTGTGTGTGTGTGTGTGTGAGAGAGAGAGAGCAAGATAGAGAGAGAGAGAGAGAGAGAGAGAGAGAGACAGACAGTGAGTGAGTGGGAGGTTGTTCTGACAAAACATTGAGTCTGTCAGCTGCTCCTGTAACTCAGCACAACTGAATCACCTACACACACACACACACACACACACAAATGCAAATCTACACAAATGGGCACCTGCACAATGAAGAGCTGAGGACAGACAACAGCCATCTTATCTCTGCTCTGAGAATATCTGTAAACATTTTAATTATCCACAATGCCCTCAAGTGAGTTCTGCACTTCTGCCACATTCTGTACATTAAAACAAAAGACGTAAGAACTAAAATCGCCATAATAATTACAGACATCACCTCTCTGATATCGGGTATCTGTAGGCCTATATCAGCAGAAAATGCTGGATGGGATATCAGACGGAAGAGAAGAATGAATCCAATCCAATCCTGTAACAAATCTAGTCTGAGTAGCACACGCTCACACTCTGTGATGTGGTGATGTTAGCTTTGGGGTGGCAGAGTGTTTGAGTAGCTTCAGCATGATAGCCTACTTTTGGATGCTCATCTGAAGTGAAGTGCTTCATTTAAAAATAGCTGATTTTGAAGCTTCGTAGTGTCGGATCAGTAGGCCTGTCACAATTATTACATAATTGCCTGATCGCAATTATGTAAGCTGATCACAATCATTTTCTATGTCTGTTAAAGGGAAATTCCACAGATTTTTCAAAAATTCTACATAATTAAATGGTTGTCATTAAGAGTGGCTTGATGTGAAACGCTCTATTGCCGAGTCAAAGTTGTTCACAGTAGTGGTGTTAGAAACCAGACGTCTGAAGAGTTTAATGCCTCTAAAAGCTCCCTCACAGAAAGGTTTCACAGGAAGTGGTTAGATATATGCTGTCTGATGTCTGATGCCAGTTTTGTACTAAAGTTTTGCCTTAAAATGTATTTTAATCTCTCTATTTTAATCTATTCATAGCGGAGGGGTACCTGCGGGGCATTGTGAGGCAAAATAGTCTCCAAAGAAGATTTTCCACTATTTTACTATTATCATCATTACATATAAAAACTCAGAAGGCATGTGTAGGTTCACTGGTGGTTTTGGATGCTAAATAAAATGGCTGTATTTGTGTATTATTCCTATCACCACCACAGTAAAGAAATCTGTTTCTCTACAATGAACCATTTTACATCAAACCACTCTGCATGACTGTGTTTACATCTCAAAGCACTAAATAAATCAGAGATTTTGATAAATTAGTGGAATTCCCCTCTAAGTTTCACAGGAACACTCTACCGCAAGGAAACCGCTACAAAACACCGACATATGACACTGACATACATAAGATTTATAAAGGCTTATTCGAAGAAGTGGTAGTTGTCATAAAGGCTCTTTGGTCAGTTCTGATATCCTTTTACCTCAGAAAGTGTTATGATAGCTGATGCTTGTAGGAATAAGCCTTTATAAATGGTTATGTAAGTTTATGTCAGCTGTCATGAAAGGCTTATGCAGATGTCATGCAGCATGAAAAACACCACCCTTCAGTAAAGTATTACTGCGTTCAGAATCACGTTTACGTCGCAACAAAGACGGTCAGTTTTCATCATTGGGTTGAAGCAAATACACGTAAATAAAAGATAGCAGAAATTTCATGGCGACATGTCACAGGTCTTATGAAAAACAACAAAAGTCCTAACTACTGGCTCGTGCTTGACACCTTTAGAGGGCAGCACTCAGTAATGTTTGTTTTCCTGAGCTCTGTGTCATCAGTCAAACTGTGTCATCAGAGCTACTAATTTTCAATAGCCAGCAAGAAAGACTGCTAATCAGCTAATCTCACCACTCTAGGCTTGTACCTTAATAATTGCATGCAGTGAACAAAAAAGACAATCAAATTGCCAACTGCAATTATTTATATGGTAACTAATCACCAAATAAAATTTCATGATTGTGGATCAGTATCGGTATCAGCCAATGCTCAAGGTTTCAATATCGGAATGTGAAAAGAAAAAGTGTTATTGTGTCATCTCTAATAACAATGTTGTTGGTGTTATTACATTATCAGGAAATAGTTATTGGATTGTACCGCACTTTGCCTATCCATACATTATTACACATAAACACAAATGTATTCATTAGAAGGAAAACACACCATTTTTGATCCAGCAAGTGCTAAATTTATTAATTCCTAGTTATAATCTCTTGATACAGTGAAAAAGAAACTACCAATACAATTATTTTAATTCTGAATCTAAAGGTAGCCTATATCTCAGTCATTAAGAGAAAACTCTAATGATCTACATATGTAAATCATAAATAAGACTGAATCTAAATCAGTCATAAAGCATAGCATGTAAAGTGACTTCTGACAACAATCCTGTATTCATTTAACCCTGAGAGCTAGAACTCTTCCAGTCTAGTAGTTATAAAACTGCTTCTGTCTTTGAACTTTACACCAGAGACCTTGATGAGTGACCATTTAGTGATAAATGACCATTTTGGACCAACAGTGTCCAGTGAACCTATATCAGTTTTACACACTATGATAATACTGACCTATGAGAAAATTTGTGGACACAAATGGTCCACAAATTTTTGCTCCAACCAAGCACCAAAAGTCTAAGTAAGTGCCCTAAATGTTCTTTAAGAAGACAGCTGGTGTTTTACAGGGAATTAATTCCTCGACTGTGTCCCTTGCTGAGTATTTTGAGTATTGTTTATGTTCATTTTTCCTACTACTAGTAGTACAGAATTCATACAAGTACAATCAAACAGATGTATATGTTTGCATATGCATTTCTTCACATATTTTAAAAGTGAGGTCCCTCTCTTGTAACAATGATAGCAGTACAAAGACAAAGACATTGATGTTCTCTGCACAAGGCATTTGACCCTAAATCATGTTTTACCCAACCATATTAAATGCGTAAGCTATGCAAAAGAAAATCAGTCTTTTGAAGCAGAAGCATCCTCTTGCAGAATCAGTAGCTGCTTTGTGTGGATTGGTGAAGCTTTGTCACAAGGTTGGTGCTACCACAAACCTACTCGATGATGTAAAAAGGAAGTAAGATGCAGGATAAAATTTGTGTTCAAAGAGCCATCACTGCCTCATAGCGCACGCACATTACAGACACACATATCAAGTGACAATTTAGTATTTCATACATGGCTTGCATAACGTTATTCTCTGTAACAAAACCAAAAACTATGGGCCTCATTCACCAGCATCTTTTTCTTGAGAAAGGCCCTAAGAAAAAGTCTACGTCAGCTTCATGACGTGCTCTTAAACTGCAGATTTGTTCGCACCTTTGTGTGCGTAGATTCTGTTCTCACTTAAGAAGAAATCCCAAATAAGAAAACTTTGATGAATGAAACCTGCGTAAGTGGGTTTTAAGAAGAAATTAAGAACGGTTCTTAAGGACGGTTGGTGAATGAGGCCCTATGATCCCATCAAGTGTAGCAGGATCTGGACTTTATGGGCATGGAATTTCAACTGTAACAGATAAGACTGAACTGTACCTTACACTGGCAGTCAAAAAGAATTGCTCAAAGGTTGTTTTTTGTGATTATCGATGATGCACATATATGAATGGAAATGTATAGAAACTAGAAGAACTATACATGTTTATCTGTATGTTGTAGGTCCTTTCTAACTTTCATGACCATATCACATTGTTCATTTTTGAGCTGTTTCTTCAGCCATACCATCTACGGCCAGTTTTGCAGACCCAGATAAAACCTGAACTTAGACTAAAAGAAATTTCCAGTGGTGATTCATCATTGGCTATGCAATATAGTCTAGGCTTAACTCAAGTCTAGGAAACCAGCCAGTTGGTTCGCCCAGCTAACCTACAATGAATTTTAAAACCAGTGGTGAAGCAACCTTTTGTTTTTTACAGACCTATTTCCTTTTTTTAACTGCTCCGCTGTAAGGGCTGAAGCACATGAAGCACAACTACTGATAAATAACAATACTAATTTGTCATACGTTCATAGAGTTTTTTTAAAATAATTTAATGGAATTTCTTTCTACTAAATCTAGTCATCCTATGCATATCACACTTGAACTCCCTCCACCTCAAACTACTTAAATCACTTGACAAGCAATATGGTGTCAAGCATTGTTCTTCGAAATATCCAGTCATTTTGTTGGTTGATTTCCTCCTTTCAATAAACATCAGTGTATGTAAGCAATTTTTTTTTGTCCGGCAGTGTAGATATAATCTATGAAAATCTAGGGTGACCATATTTTGGTTTTCAAAAAAGAGGACATTGCGGGCAGACTGTAGAATGCACGTCAGCATAAAAGCAAAATCCAAATCCTGGACATTTTAGACAATGTAGAAAATCAAGCTGGACACCCTTTTAGGTCCCAAAAAGAGGACATGTCCTGGAAAGAGAGGATGTATGTCACCCTATAAAAATCTATAAAACAAGCATGATGGCATTCTGTGTTTTAGCATTGACTCCATACACCTATAGCAACTATTCTAATGCTCTTTCTTATGAGGATGAGTAACAGACAGCAGAGATACAAATACTCTAGTGTACAATAAGGATGCCTGACTCACCACTGATTCAAATCTATACACAGTCATAAGTTAATGACACAAACCTAGCAGGCACGTTCAAAATTGAAATCTACAGACATAGCTAAACTCAGAGTCTATTTTCAAAATGACTAGGCTTTTAAACTGTGCAAATGTACCCACAGTAACAGCTACTGGTAAGACTTCACACTACGCAAGCTGTCATAAAGCTATCAGAGATGCATTGACAAGACATAACATGACAACATGTGAACACATAAAAATAACTTCATGATGTTACAAAAAAGTGCTGTGTGCCATGACTTTCAAAAGAAAAGTCATAAGATAGACTGTTATTGATAAAATGTGATAGCTTTATGACAGAATGCTCAGTAACGTGCTATCCAGTAGCTGCGCACCCACTGGAAAGACTATTTCAACCAAGGCCTGCATTCAGGAAGAATACCAGGTTAAGAGTGCTGCTTTACTCTTTCAGTCACATGTCCTGACTCAGATAGGCGCTGGAGGAATCTGATCCTAGATGTGCACTCTTAACCTAGAATTCTTGCTGAACGCAAGCCTTAACAAGTCTAGCACTGAAACCCCAACAACAAAAGCACTTAGTCGTCACAGTGGCATTTCTTACACTATTTTCTACCATTACAGAAAGGTTCAAGTAGTATTCAGAACCAGCTGTTACAGGTAAGTGATGGTGAGAAGGGCAAAATGTAAAAAACTAGACGAGACTGTCATCTACAAAGGAATGAACAAGCAACATTAATGACAGATTAAAAATTAATGCAACAACAGGCAAAACTCTCTTAAATTATTCACTGATATGCCCTTTAATGCACCACTTCCTGAAAGCATCTGGTTGGTTGAGTGCAAATTCCGCTAAGCAGTGGAAAACACTGCTGAGATCATGTTGATATGTCTAGTAAGCAATGTTATGGCTTCTTCTTCACCCAACATTCAAGGCGTAATCCTCCCATCAAACCTCGTCTTCTTATGTTATAATCTATACACCTAATGTACAATCAAGAGCCATGCATAGGTTACAGTACTGAATATGTAAAGACGTTTCTGTCTCGATGGTATCTTGTAGATTCAAGTCTATAACTGATAACAACAGCTCAGTAGCATAGCACAGATTTCCATATATTGTCCAGCTCTCAGATTTCTTTTTGTAATGAGAGCAAGCTGATAGAACATCATTTGAAAATATGGGCCGAAGAACATGATATTGTTCGAGTATATGCTGCATCAACCACTCCCCCCTCATTGCCTCTTTTCTAAAAGACTGTGGTTGAAGCAATTTGAGCTTGTCGGCTCCTTCACTTCCTGTTTGAAGGGCTCACAAGCAACAAAGAGGAAGTGAGTTTGTGTGCATGGTTGTGTGTATGTATCAGTGATAAAGACACACTGCCAGAGAGAGACTGAGAGAGAGATACCAACTAAAAGCATTAGCATGATATCATGTCTCCCCAGGAAACTCTGAAAGCGTTTAATGCTGTCCAGCGCTAGTGGAGCCCACTTGGGATGGAATTAGCAACTCATTCTCGAAACGCCCTGTAAGCACCACTGTACTTCCCCCAGGGACAAAAATGGCCAAGCCAAGACTTGAAGACAATCAGTCAAATGAACGCCTCTGAATAAACCTACAATGGAAGCAACAACATGCCTCGTAATAAACCTTACTCATATTGATATTTGATAGTACATGGACAGTAACAGTTATATGCAATTGTGTCAAATGATGCCCTGTAGCCTCAACAGTGGCCATCCTAGACTGTGAAATGGTAAAATGGAGAAAGGATTCATGCCCCGTGTGGTTAAATAACAGCCACTGCCAGCTAGAATTCAGTTCTATGGCTCTTCTTAATGCACCTTCAAACGTTTTTGCTCGGGAGCATAAATATGGTAGGCGCACCACCCAAACCAGACAATGATAGAGGCTATACACCCTTGCAGCAGCATCATCACACCATAGGTGGAGCAGAGAGTGGGACCAGGGAGCTGAGTAGGCGTTGTGGGTGCTAGAACCAGAGAAGGGTGGAGCAACAGGGCCCGTATCTCCACCTTGATCATATGGAGCTCGTCAAGGATGGACAAGAAGGTACAGCAATGGAACCACTGGTGGCTGTGGCCCCAAATGTCAAACTTCCCCGGAGACAGGCGCTCGGGGATCTTGCTGATGTTGAAGACTGCAGACACCACCAGCCAGAAACAGTGGCGGTAGAAGAAGGCAGCCATTGTGGAGGACGGGTAAGGAGAGGGCGGTGGAGAGTTCGGAGGGTATGGGGAAGGGCTGAGAAGGCGGTAGAAGACCGGCGTGGATGAGATGAAGAATGGGAGGAGGAAGACGAGAGTACGCACAATGTAGCGGTACTTCCTCCAGCGCTGCCTGGTGTTGCAACAAGTTATGACACAGACGATAGCTATCATACAGGAGCAGGGGATGTACAAACTCTCGAAGAATGGGCGGAAAATTAGGAGAGAGCTGTAGAAGGAAGAGGTAGTGCAGGAAGGAGGAGGTGATGAAGGTTCCTCACCCCTCTCTGACTGTGTCCCAGATGCATTCTGTGCCCCAACCCCAATCTTTGGTATCCCTGCCTGTGGATGAATGTAGTAATAGTAAGCCAGTGAGGAACCAACAGTATATGCACTAATGGTTCCATAATCCACAAAGAAGCAAATCTCCCGAATAATCAATGACATAGAGTTCAGAAGATGTGCCATGCTGCTGGCCAGTAACAGATAGAAGACCCCGATGAAGTAGGTCCATGCAGGGTAAAAGAAGGGGTCTCCAGGGTTTGGTGCCCCTTCCCACTTGAATATCTCCAGAAAGTGAAAGGCGAAGAGAAAAATGGGGAGGAAATGAGTCCAGAAGTTTCCGGTCTCATTGGTGGGGCGGAACGCCGAGACCAGGCACTGAAGGAGGCTGTAGTCGGGGAAGCGGTAACCCGACAGAATGAAGTTTTCTGTCACTCTTGGTGGGACATCAGTGTGACGGAGGAGAGGTAGCGACCACATCATGATATCTCGTACTCAGGACTGGCTCACTGCAGCAACTCACAGGGGTTTACCGTTCTCGTCCTCTGGCGTCACCTTCATCATGTTCCTTTACAATAATTTGCACTGATATCACATCATGGAATTAAGCTGTTCCACAGTAAGGTTGCATTTGCTCAGCAGGATAAGTATTAATCATTCAAACATCAGTCAGTAGTCTTGATCTTACTGCAAAGTCCTACTCAAATGCATGTGCAGCAAAATTATAATCCACCTAAAGCAGACTTTGTATGTGCAGATTAGGATACAGTTGGCCAAAAATTCCTGAGCCTTAATTAAAGGTATAAATCCCCCACAGCATGCACAGAAACCGCTGGGCTGGAGCTTAAAAAGCCCAAACGCTCATTTTTCTTTAGGGATCCAAAGGCCAGCGTCCGCACAGTCTCTGTTTATCCTCTTCGTTGTTGTTCACCTTTAGCAGCAACGTCGCAACGAGGTTATAACAAGGGGTTATATTTTATCTCTCCAGTGCAGATGAGTCCTTATCAGTGTCGAGTTCACTCTGCCCTGACACGAGGCTCGTGTTTCGTATGCGTTACACGAGCTCCTTTGCACGGCGCGTTCAAAACACCCGAGCCGGCAGCTTCTTTAACGTGCTGAAATCTATCCGGTGGCCTGTGTAACGTGCTGAAACGGAGCCGGTAGCTTCTTTAACGCGCTGAAACGGAGCCGGTGAGCTGGCCTGTGTACCGTGCTGAAGCTCCACATCGCTTCACCGCGAGCCTGGTCTCAGCGGCATCTCTCCGCTGCTGAACCTCATTCAGGGAAAAACTGGGTCAGGGGGCAACGCGGCGCGCGCCGGCTTCTCCTCACGCGCCGGCTCGCATCGTACAAAACATTCGTGCAACTGCGGTTCCGGCGATGGCGCACGAAGACAGCGCGGGTTAGAAACGCTGCGAGAGAGATCACAGTCTGTATCGCAGCGCCCGAAAACCTGCACTTGCGCTGATGGCAGTCCGAGCCACAGTCCTTCTCATCTATTCCAGTACAGTCCGATCCTGAACGAGATCTTCTCTGTCTTCATACCCAGCCCACAGAATGAGGCCTGGAGCTCTCTCTATCACTCTCTCTCTGTCTCTCTTTAGGTGCTTACACATACACGTCCTGTCCTTGACTGTTCGTTTGCCGGTAGGTCGCAGTGCCCCATGCGCTGTGGTGGAGCCTGTGTGCGCCCCCCTCCCCCCTCTAGGGGTAAACCTACCGTCCTGCCGGGCAGCTCACAAACTGTGGCTGTCTATAGCCACCCAACATGCGAGTAATAGCTCACTACCATTCTCTCTCTCTCTCTCTCTCTCTCTCAGCCTCACTCGCTCTCTCTCCTCCTGGCAACTTTCCAGTGACGTTCGTGAAAGCCCTGGACAGAAATAGACAGGATTTATTCGCCTGGTTGCAGTCGCATGAAGCGCTCTCCCCTGCCAGACTGCGCTCTCTTATTCATTTCACTCATTCAGATAACATTAGGTCCGAAAGCACGTCCATGGTGCCCGGTTTTACTGTGTTAAACTGTGCACACTGTGTGATGAGCGGGTCTGCTCTTGCTCCTTGTTAATATAATTAATAATAAATCTACTGTGAGACGCAATCGTGCGCCACCACACAGGGGACCAATGAAAACACGCGCAGAGGAGAGCTAATTTTATTTCCCACCTGTTTTCAGCACGGCTCCGCTCATCTTGGCTAGGATTGGCTGCTAGCGCCTCGCTTTGGTGAGCTAGGATTGGCTAGTGGTTCATCCTCACAAGATGCCCTGCTATCAGCGGGCTGCTTGCGAGCAGCCAATCCTAGCGCACGTAGGCGGAGCTTGTCGGAAAAGAAGTGGGAAATAAAATGACCCCATCCAGGCGACCCCCTTCCTTCCCCAGCCCTCTGCCGCCCCTTGTCCGCGTGCCAGGTGGCCCCTGCGAGGGGCAGTGGGTCGTGAAATAGCCTTGCCTTGAGGGCAAGCCTGCAGGTCCTCCATTGGCCAGCTGTTCTGAGGACTGGCCAACAAACATGTGAAGGAGTCTGGAGCATGCTTTATAATAAATTGTGCTGTGCTTTTCTTGAATGGTCATAGGTTAAGATGTAAGGTCCATGTCAGCTGATTTGGGAATCTGTATTGCAGTTGATGCAAACAGTTTATATTGTCAGCATCTTTTACAGTGTCCACAGCGTGTCCCCTTCTGACCTTTTCTAAAGTGAATACAAAGTTGCTATGAGAATTATAGGATAATTTACAGACTGTGTTCCATTCCTTTCTAAAATTTCCAGGCTGTGGTTGCTTAGTTTATGTGATAATCTAGACTTCACCTCTGCTGGATGGCAGTTATCACAGCTGTGACTATAACTAGTCTTTCATACTTTCATAACACAAACGCAACTGGTAAACAACTTTAGGGCTTATATAGCATGATGTCATTTTCGCATATGGTATACTGTAGGTGCAACCCATATGGCCTAAATGTGCTGTAGGGATTACAGAGTGGGGGTAGGAGTTATGTATATTCACTCACCACTAGCACTAGCACAACACATTATACTGCCACATAAAACAGTACTTTAATTCTATTGCGTTTTTGTTATATAAGCATATTTGTAAGTGCATGACAGCTGCTGGGGTTGTTTGTGTGGGTCTTTGTGTATGCATGCTTATTTTCGCTTGTGTGGCATGTTACGGGCTGCCTGCTTCTTCTCTTTCCTGGTCATCTTGCGCAGTTCAGGGGGAAAGCTGTGCTTTGCAGTGACTGCTCTCTGACTGGCTGGTTCCTGTGGATTAGTTTGACCACCTGCTTGTCCATTGGTAATGGAGGGGTGCTGCGGGCAAGGCACAAGAGGCTTATAGAGGAGATGAAAAATGAAAGCATTGGAGTACCTGAAGAAAAAGAAAATAAACAAAAAAGCAGTAAGGACAGGTTGGGACAGTTAGGCCTATGGAAGCTATTGAAGGAAAAAAAAAGTCTTCTTTCTAAGCTGCATCAATGTGAACTGAGGAACTTGAACGTTTAACAATGTGTTGCCACAGTTCTCATAAACCCGTGAACTTGTGAATTTCTGAGGAAGTTGCAGCGAAATGGCTGATAAAGCTGATAATACAAGTTCCATATTACCTGAATTTACACAGCAGCCAGTTATAATGTAAACATGGTAAATCACACTAGTGGGTAGTGTGCTGGTACATTCAAGCAAATATACATAAAGTTCACATGTTAAATTTACTATTTGCTGAATGCAGAAAATGCGTAGTTACGGTTTGCTGACGTGACTGTTTTCAGACTTTTCAGGGGGCTATCCGAACACACTAATAGAATGGATTGTTCCTCTCACCATGGTAGCAAGTTGTCTCCTCCACAGAGTCGTAGAGGACAGCGGAAGGGGTTAATAGTAGGGTGTGAGAGAGCACCCCCTGTGGCAGAACTCATCACTTGCTTGCTGGACTCACAGCTCAACTCACTTAGCTCACAGAAATAGGCTGGAACTCTCATGGACTGGAGTACATAAGAACACTCTGTTAGTCAGAGGCCTTAGTAAATAATCAATAAGTAACAGAACACTCAGCAGATGCTGAAGATAAAGGGTGTTTGTGTGCTACCTGAAGTCGGGGGAGAGTGCTGAGCCATGAGTCATGGAGAGGAATCGCTGGTCTGAATCCTGACACACACACACAAACACATTGTGAATGGTCCCTCTGCAAAGGGATTAGCTGTGTTGTATTGTTTAGCGTTGTGTTGGAAGTCTGGGCCCATTCAAAGAGATCATAAAGAAATGATTCATAAATAAACAATGGAGATCATAGGAGGGGCTCTTGTGCTTCCTTCCCGCTATTGAAAACACAGAATGCTGTGTCTGTTCAAACACACCATTCAAAATTTCGAGGCCTTTTTCTCATAGAACATACACAAACAGTTTTGTGTTTTTCACACACCAATCACAAGGTCTGGTTTGGGGCCCTGGAGCATGTGGTAGGCTCTTTTGTACGCTTTGACTCGGATACTCTTCTTTTCAGCTTTCTCCTCTGAACCTAGAGCAGGACTCACCAGAGATACACCATCACTCTGTGGGGAGAAATAGAGAAAGAATTTCAGGTGTGTCTAGTCAAATGTTCCATATTCACTAATGGTTGAACAGGCATATATATCTCCAGTCAAAATGGCCGTAAAGAACAAGTTACTCTTTTTTCGGCATCAGAAAAACTGCAGAAAACATTTTTAACAGAAAAGTACTTGTACTATTACATATAATATTAGATTTTCAGTATTTAGTGTTTCCACGCTTTGCCTTTATTACATCTTACATTTTTTTCAGGAGACTTGCAGTCAGTTTACCAAAGAAATCTGCAGGGATATTTTTCCACACCTCCAAAGTTCAGTCTGAGAAGTTGGTTGCATTTTCTGTCTTATGATCAAAGTAATTCAAATAACGAATTCAAACTTTTTCATTAAACCTTACTCCACATATGTCCAGTTTCAGTGTTCTGGTGCAACTTTTCTTTGTTTTTATTTCCTCTTCTCAGTAATAACTTTTTGGCAGTTACATATTCTTTCAGACTCATAGTGTTGAGTTGTCTTCTCACAGTGGAAGGTTAAATAGAAACATGAGGATTTTTTCAGATGTGAAGTAAGAGTGGAGCTTGATTTTCTCCTCTCTCTCAAAGATGAAAGCGTTAAGTACTGTTTATCTGATAGTGAGAGTTTTAGTGGTCTACTAGGTCTTGCTTTGTTAGAGGTCCCATTTTTATATTTTTAATAATGTCTTGAGCTCTTGAGTTTTGTAAACTTAAACAAAAAAATTAACTGTTCACTTATTTTCCTTTGTGAATTATCTTACAAACCCAATTCCAAAAAAGTTGGGACAGTAGGTAAAATGTAAATAAATATGGATAGCAATGAATTGCAAATCCTTTTTGACTTATTCAATTGAAAACAGTACAGGACAACTTATTTAATGTTTCAATTAATTAACTTCACCATTTTTTGTATATTATTCTTATATTTGCTTATTTTAAATTGGATGCCTGCAACATGTTACAAAAACATTGGGACAGTTATTGTGGCTTGGTACTGTCTTTCTGAAATAAGCAGGGATGTACCTGAAAAAGATGTTGTCTAGATGGCAGCACATGTTGCTCTAAAATGTATATGTACCCCTCAACATTAATGGTGCCTTCACAGATGTGCAAGTTACCCATACTACTGGTGCTAACACGCACCCATATCATGAGAGTTTTGACAAGAAATGAAATAAATGAAAGGGTAGTCTCTGACTTTTGTACAGTACTGTACTATAAACCACACTATATATATATACACAGAGAAAGAAAATAATAGGCTGTCTTTTCTCCAATAATGACACAATGACTTAAGTGGATAAAAAAAGAAGCTATGAGAACAGAAGTATGTATGCGTGGGCCATATGTCTGAGTGACTGTTTCAGTGTGGTTATGGACCTTTTTTTGTAAATAGAGTTGCTGTTCATCACTCTCTTGTGGCAGCTGTTCTCCAACGAATGCAAGTTCAAAAGTCATGTGTGGAAGAAGCACAGACAGCTCCTATCGAAGAAGATAAAAAGCAACTGATTCAGCCAAAGCACTGCTTCTGTTTGGGGTTCTTCTCACTTCTCTTCAATAGTTTCACTTCTCTTCAGTAAACAGGCCAAAAACTGACATCGACAAAGTAAGAATACAAATGATATGCAGAGGTAGTTGACCATAAAGAGAAAGAGGAAGATGTTTGTCTGGCTCACCCAAAAAATCATGAGCGTGTGAAACTCTCTGTAGGATTCGATGATGTGGATCTTCAAAGACTGCTTCTTCAGAATGTTCAGCTCTGGATCTAAAGAGTATGAGGCCACTTCAGAGATTCAGAACTGTTCAAATGTTCACACCAGAGATGACCAACCCGACAACCACCAACAAACCGAAACATTTGGCTGGTGCACCATGAAATTTCAACTGACAATTACTTGCCATATAAATAATCACAATTAACAACAGAATTGTCTTTTTTGATCACTATATATAGCTATTAATATACAAGCCTAATGTGGCCAAATTGGCTGATTAGCTATCTTACTTCCTAGCTGTCAAAATTATTAGCTTCCAGCTGATGACAGACAGCTCAAGTTCAAATGAACAAACATTATTTAGTGCAGCCTTCTAAAGGTACATCAACGGAGACAGTCCAATCATGTTTCAGAGGAAACCAAACAGAGGCAGCCAAAAATACTAGTGTTATTACCATAGAGGGGATTCCCAGTAAGCCATCAAACTACTACACAACCCAGCACATGACAACTCTATTTACGAGCTTTAGACAGCCTTGCATAAATCCCTGTTTTTTACAAAAACAAAACTGTGGTTTAGCAGGTTATTAGTGCACCTTACAACTGTTTGTTTGATTGTTTTGACACTTTCTTTAAGAGATTATCAGTGTTTTATTGAAGGGGTTTTCAGTGCTGTGGTGACAGGCTTAAATATACACGTACACACATATTTTCACTTACAGTCTTGTGGCACCAAAGAGGTGATGATGTAGTATATAGATAATGTGGAGCTGAGCAGAGGAGCCACAGGTGATGCCAGATTCAAGGCCCTCCAACTAAAATACTGACTCCAGGACACTAAAAGAGAGGGATATTACAGTATGTTTACTTTTAGTTTTCATTAAAAACAAATTAATTGTAAAAAATACTTGGCATTAAATACTTTGCTTTAAGTCTGCATACATCTACATAAGCAGAATGTTACCGAAATATTAATTGTGTGCCATTTTCCTACCTAAAGGTGAGCTGGGGGAAGGGGAATTGAGGGGTGTTTGACCAAGCAAGATGTTGGCTTCCTCTTTCAGATGGCCATACGGTTCCGAGTGACCTTGAAAAACACAAAGTTAAATGAACACACACATAAACAAACAGCACAGCATATCATTCTTCAGTCATAACAGCTGTACTTGGTTTTAGAATATGCCCACCTGATAGCCAGATATCTTTGGCCTGTTCCATTCCTGAATGGAGCTCAAAACGGGGGGACCGCACAAGTAGGCTCCAAAGCAACCAGTAGCCACTGTTTAACTTATTCTTAAACAAGAAATGCTCTAAATCAAAGTCTTCGGTCGTTGTTTCTTAAAAACAGTTGAAGAAGGCACAAATCAGTTTCCTCATATCATCTCATCATAACTCATGTCTTTCAAAACACAGCTATCATACCATCACCATGATTTACTCTATAGCTACACATGCAATTATCAATAATCTACCACTATTACTTTAAAGCAGGGGCGTAGCCGGAACTTTTAAAATGAGGTGGTCAGGTTAGCCCCATATATTTTATTGGAGTGGCAAAATGCTAAGAAAGAAATTAAATAAAACTGTGTTTAATAATGTTCTTCTGCACATATATTAGGCATATGTTATTAAAATAACATAAAATATGATGCACTGAATTACCTTTAAATAAAATATTCCATGTAATAAAGCCATACAGTGTACTCAAATAGGCTGTCCTTAATACATGATACTTATATGTTTAATGCTAAGGAAGTTAGCCAGACAGGAAAGTATAAAGTAACTTTAAGAATGAAAAATCTTTGGCTGGCTGAAACACAACCTACTGTAGTATTAGCACAATGTTATATCTAGCACTGGATTTGCCTCAGAGGGAAAGCTTGCCTACATCATTAAACACTGCTTGTACTGAGCTTACATTTCATTAGTTAACATGACAAAGTCATTTTTGCTTAGCCTACATATAATGTTCTGTTACATTCTGTGAAAAAAATATTATACAAAATAATACCTTCTCTAATTGGCTGAGAGCATGATGTGTATCAAACTGTGGTTTACTGACATAGAAATTTATTTATCTCTTTTAACCGTGTTTTCCTAATGTATAAAGCCAGTTAGCTTCATTAAGCAAAATGAACAAGTCTAACATTAAAGTTTTAAACAGCATTACCTCAACTGTATGCTCAGCTAGGCAGCCTATCACAGAGAGATATACTGAATATTAAGCGCAGCATCATTGGATTCTTGTGACTGATTAGTAACTGTCCTAATGGTAGATTTTCACTATACATCAATCATGCACACAAGGTAGGTAGGACAACTTTTCTCTTGTGACTGATCCACTGAGGACAGCTAATGTCTGTCTTTCCATTACTGAGGAGGCCAGTAAAGTGACCATGCTTTACACCAGTTGACCACCCCTTGGCTAAACCCTTGTGTTTTGTGTTTTTAAAAGACCATTTGTGTTCTTATTACAACATCCTGAAATTCGCATTAGTTTGTGTCTGTGCATGTGTGTTTGTGTTTATGTGTGTGTATTTGTGTGTTAGGGGTGTATTCAGCTCTTTATGGGAACTGAATTTGCCCAAGATGATGGGAGAAAATGAAAATAGTGACATTATTTTGACATTTGGCCGATCCCAGCATGGATAATAAGCTTTTTTCTCCTTTTCTAAAATAAAAAATGCATATTTGATTAGGAAAATGTAAAAGGACCTTAGATTAAGGTTAGGGTTGAGTTAAATGTAGGCACTGCAATATTTAGCTACAGTGAGTCAGTGAAAATACACTAGATGGACAGTATGCATATGTTTTTTTTTTTTGTCTGTGAGTGTGTGTGTGTGTATATGTGTGTGTACGTGTGTGGCGCCCCCTACCTTTGGCATAAGTGAAGGGCAGGTTGGCTAGCTGGACCCTGTGGCTCATGTAAAGGGTCAATCTCTCACAGCTGTGAGAGCGGTTGAGGTCCGGTGAAGACTGATGGTGAGCTGATGGAGGGCATTCATCTGGACAGAACAACACTGCCCTACAGCCAGGACTAGAAGACAGGAGAGCCAGAAGGATGGAAAGAAAAAGCAAGAGAGAGAGCATATACAAAAGGAAAGGCCAAAGAGCAAAAACAGAAACACAGCAAAAAGGAAAATACAGAAAATAGTGAATTTTGTTGATAATGACAAATAAAAGCTGAAGATTTATACTTGATAAGACTGGAACTCCTCATGTAAATGCGCAGTTTACAGGGCGTTGAACTACATTTGTATATCGAGCAAAAGTTTTATTTAATGGCAGATGTAGAGAATGTTATATTCATTGTTGTACATAAGTATTACCTTATACACTTATATACACAGCTAAAAGGGAAAAATAAATTGCTTTTCCATTCATATCACCTGGCATTGAGCAACTGTACCAACCTTCTCAACATTTTGTTTCAACATGACCAAGTTCAATCCAAAGCATAATTAAGACACTTTCACTGTGTATATACACTCACATGCATTCTCTTGCAAAACAATGCACACACAGTACATTCCATAAGCCACATACACAACCTTCATAATGTTTGGAATGTTGCCCCTGGCTCAAAACCTTTACACGTACCACTATTAACCCAGTGTATTACATGATTTGCATCTTACTCAAACTTTTTGTTCTGTCGTTTCTCTTAAAACTAAAAAAATCCATACTTGCTAAAACTTTGCACCACAAAAGAGACCTCTTTACCTCTTTTCTTCTTTTCCTTAGTAAACCTCTGTCATCTACCTCTTCTCTCTAACTTTTCACCTTACCATGGTTTCAGCCGGCTGGGGAAAGACTGTTTCTTACAAGCATGACAGTAGTATGCGGGGGGCCAGCGCATGCTAAATGCTTTAATGCGTGGCGCCCCCGTTTCCCTGTCTACATCAGTGGGCATCCAGCCACCAAATGCCTCTGGTCTCAGCGTCACCTTCAGACGAGACAAAGACTTCTCTCTCTTTCTCAGTAACCTAAAGGTACAAGTAGGTTTGGAGGGGGGCAGAAAGAGAAAGAAGAGGAGAAAGGGATAAGAGTCATATTTAGCACCATATGACAGCTGTTTCTGACATGTTGTGACTTTGGATGACTACATATCACTTCATTAATAAGGCAGATAAGGTCATTTTAAAAAAGCGATTAAATAGATTTACTTCACTCAAATGCATACGTCATTTCCACGTGAATAAAGATATTGCCAAAAATTAGTGAGGTGAAATTCAAAACATATCTGAATATGAATGTGGAAAAGACACACACATTTGCAGACATACACATTTTTCCAGTGTACTGTAGTGCTCACCTATGGAGTTTCTTATCACTAACTGTCAAAGTCTGTGGTCGTCGTGGCAACCTTCCGCTCAGTGGCGCCTCCATTGAGAATCGGAGCAATCCCAGCATCCTCTGTGTGATGGCACCCACACCCTCATTATCACTGCCCGCTGTTTCCCCAACATCCAGCGAATTGGACCAACCCCACGGCAACATATCAAAGCCCAGTAGCAAACCGGAAGAGTCCGTCAGTAGCAGCACGCTCCCTCCGTCACAACACACTACAGGGACAGACAGAGACGATTTAATTTAAAAAAAATCAATACATCTGTCTGAGTCTGAGCAAACAGTCAATCTTCATTGTAAGGGTGTTGTATTAGCTAAGGTCAGCTACATAATGTCTGTATGTGCCTGTGTGTGTGTTTGTATTTACCTCCTTGTTAGGTCATTTGCCTAGTCCTCCAGGAATCCAGGAGCACAAAGTTTGTTTTCACAAAAAAAAATTGCATCTTTCATTTGAAAATGTAAAAGAGGTCACTGATCTTAATAATTTTCAAACCTTCTGCATTTTCCAGTCATTAAAATGTAAACATTCAAAGGGGCCTGTGATCAGGGCCTGGATCATCCAGTAGGGTTAATGGGCATGTGCCAAGGGGCCAGAGCTACTAGGGGGGGCCCCACCAGGAACTATGAGAAAATCTAAACAGGTGTTTTGACTCAACCTAACGGACGATCAGAATCCTGACACCTCCCTGCCCGCTTTAGTTTTTCCTCCTTTCGCTGCTTAGCAATCATTCCACCATCAGCCACTAACACAGTCGAGCACTAACTCAGTCGAGCACTAGCATTCCTGTTAACGTACTTTAAATTTGAAGCTGCAGATATAGAAAAGATGTGCCTGGGGTTTTCACGTGAGAAATTACAAATGTCAGCTAAAGTTAAAGAAAAGTTGCTGCGTTGTTGTGGGCAGTTTGAACTATTTCAAAGGCAAGCTATGGTGAAACAAAATTTGACGCCCACTGTGGCAGTATGCTTTAGTTTAGGATGCTTGATGGTACATTTTTCTAGTGTTTTACCTTTGTTATGCTCATCTTAGCTGTCTGATTTAATTTATGTCATGTTTATTGGGGTAAAACTGTGCTTGTCAGGAGTGTTGATTGTTGCTGTTAACCTGTGTTCTTGTTTGTGTGTGCGTAACCTTGATATAGTTTTGTTTTTACTGCAATAGCATGATAAAATATGTCTGACGATGACTGTAGTCCTGTCAGCAATAGGCTATAACCTCACATCATGCTATCAGAACACAGCGCATTTGGAAAATGAATTGCAACCGGTGCAAGTCAACACAGTAACCTCCCTTCTTAGCAAATAAATGATAAATAATTTAACTTTACATTGAGCTATCACACTTAACACAAATATTCAATTCAAAAGGTTTGTTTCTAGAGCCATTTAGATAACCCCAGATTATGCAGCTTGGTCAGAAACAAATGCTCTTTCATTCAAACAGGCGAACAAATAAGTAAAAACAAGCGTATATGTGCCTATAGCAGTGATGTGCCCAGCACCACAGTTACTATGCTGCCATCGTGGTGCTGCACAGCCCTCATATAACCAGCTGTGATATCATAAAAAAAGCCCTGAATATTAAAAAACGTAGAAAGAGGGATAGAGAAAGAGAGATAGAGCATACAATGTTTCTGCAAGTTCTCTCACTGCAGCACTCACTCAGCTCTGACGGATCAGCATTGTGAAGTGTTCTGTCAGCAGGGGTCGCTGGTCCGCAGTCCAGCAGATGTAAGATCCAGTGTGCGCATGCGCGGTCCACGGGAAGCCGGACTCCACTCACCCTCACTGTGCGCTTCCTCAGTCTGGACCGTGAGTGTTCATACTCCTTGTACCAGAGCGCCATGGTGCGCGCAAACATCTGGAGCCGGTCACTGTACCCGGAGTCAAATTCCATCTGCAGGAGCCCAGAGTGGAGACTGTTCAGTAGACATGTTCTTGTACTGTAACCTTAAGTTATCTGGCTAACTGAGAAACCCACCCCAGGCCCCCACAGCCTCCACAGCCATAACACGGGGCTGATCAATTTAACCAAGCACCAACCCTCATGTTTGGAAGGCTGCATTCTCTATATATTCACATGTACAGACTTGCTAGAACTTTGTTATACAAAACAAACACTAAATCCTTCTTTGGACGTTTATGTTCCTCATTAAATTTTCCCTCCTTCCATTTATTTCAGGTTTCTCTTGCTCACATCATTAACTTAATTGCAAATGGCACTCTACTTCCCACTGCAAAAACATAGTGACAGGTAAAATCTTCTGATATCAATGAATTGAATGTCAATGAATTTAATATTTCTCATGTGATTGTTGTATGAATATTACAAAACTTTTCAAGCTATTTCTAGATAAGTTCCCATATAATGAAAAAACACACTTCCATCACATTTTTTTAATAAAAGAGCCAGATGTGGTATGTAAACATTGTCAACGCTCCAAAATGTACTGTTCACTCCTCAGTCCATACAGTCCATATATGGAAACTGAGCTGCTAAAACAACCTGTTTGGAATTAATTGTTTTTGTGATGTCATGTAAACCAATATATATGCTTGTTCAGCCTATAGCAGTTTAGCCCCGCCCATTTACAATGACCTATAAGGAGTGTCTCTGCCTGGACGGCTTTTCCAATGAGGCACTGAATCTAGAGCAGTCAATCAGGACAGAGCTCATTTACATAACACACACGTAAAATGTCATAAGCGGACCTCAGGAGAAAAATAAAATAGAAAGAAAATGCAGGATGTGTTTAAGCTATTTTGTCAAGTGAAGTTATCTCACTATATGTATTATCTTTTCCATTCAGTGTTTAACGTCTCTAAATGTTTTTCTTCATATCTAATGACTTTTCTTAATTTAATTGTTTTCAGTGTCATGTACACATTTTGTACGCATCAGTGTTCTATAAGAACATAAATGACATTTGCTTTGGCTGTTTAGGATGCTATTGAGCTCAGTATAACATGCAATATTATAATTTAAAAAAAAACTTCCCTCTGCTTTAGGGCCCTAACCGAACCTAACCACACCTGCAGAACCACTGCAAACCACTGACAGTTCACACCACATGGGAGGGAAACATCATTGCCCCAGAACTTTGTTATTTCCCGGAGGTTTAAACTGCTGAGGGATAAAAGATGTCAGTAAATTTGAGGGTCACAGGAGGGTTAATTAATGAATGGCAGTCCACTGTTTGTCCTCTTCAGGCTGAGCACGGCCGCAGCTCAGTTAGACAGGTTAGCTAACTTAGCTAGCGCCTCGCACTGAGGCAAGGTTAAAGTTGTTTTCCTGCTCCTCCTGATATTTACCTCCGGGTTTTTACAGTATGTGTGAGAATATTACAACGTGCCAGGCTGTAATAAGGCCAAACCCACCTTTCTGATTCTTTCGGTGCCGAGAATTTGAAGAAACGTGTTTTTATCCTTCCGCTCTGAATTCGTGTGTAAATAAATGCGTGTTTTTATTCTAAGTGCAGTGCGTGCTGTTGACTGGTGACGTAGAATGCACGAGTGGTTGTTCGGGGTGTTGTAGTTTTTTCAGGATCTCAGCAGGACATTAACAACGAGCAGGCTGCACGGGCTCCTCTACGTAGAAATATGAATAAAAATGAATGAATAATAATGTGCAATACTGCTGAAGATAAAGAGTAAAGACTCCACACTGTTAAATAGTGGATGAACCTCTGTCTTTTAACTAAGTTAGCTAACCTAACTCAAATTAAAGGGGCAGTCCAAGGATTTTTGGATTTTTTTCTGACTGTCTGTATATTAAATAATTAAGATGTACACAAAGTCACTCAGACCAATCTGATGTAAAACATGAGAAACTCAGTCAGAAGTGGTGGTGATAGGAACCAGAGGTCTGAGAAGTTTGATGCCTCCAAAACAAGCTAACAAACACAAATATTTTCACAATGGTTTTGTGATAAGGTTTTGGTCTTACATGAACATATTTTTAAATATATATTTACAAAAACAGTTGTGGAGAGATGCATGCTGTGAGGCACAAAAGTATCCAAAGAAAACTTTTTTTTAAATTTACCACTATTTTACCATTATTAACATAACATATAAAAGGAGATGCATGTAGGATAACTTGTTGTTTTGGACAGTAAATAAAATAGTTACATTTGTGTTGTAGACATTGCAAAACTCCTGGTTTCTTTCATTCAGTAAGTTTCTCTACGATGAACCATTGCACATCAAACTGCTCAGTGGCTTTGTTTACATCTCATTGACTGAATTAGGCAGAACATATGAAAAAAAAATTAAATTTGCTTTTAAAGATGCACAACGATGAGCTTCTAACATTTAGGATTATTTAAGTTCTGATCAAGTTCTAAGATCAGTTTATGGTTTATATCAGTTTATGACACACCTTAGGGATGCGAGATACCTTTATTCTTTGCCAAAATACAGGAGCACTGGTCACTTTGCTCAAAAATACATTTTGGCTTCAGGCTTTTTATTAGCCTTTGTATGCAAAACACACAAGTGTGATTTTTTATGCCTCGGAGGGCTCCTCTGGCTCCATTTTGGCTCTGGTACAGTGGTCAAGGATTATGCTCAATGCAGTGTCAAAGAAGTCTTTGTGGACAGGACTTAGGCCTGTCAGGTGCTGTTTGACAGCGCTCTGCAGCATGATGATCTGCCTTTTGGCACTGTCACAGCTTTTCATCTGAGTGAGGTGAATCTGCATTCGCTGCTTCTCTTCTTCCTGTCCTCTCTCAATGTCCTTCTCATCCTCTGTTCCAGGTGGAATGTAGTGAGGTGCAGGGGGCTCAGCGATGTCATGGGAGCACATGAGGAAAAGGCATTCCTTGGAGGAACAAAGTGAACTTGCAGCGCGTGGAACCTGAGAGAGGAAGACGGAGAAAGAGTAAAAAAAGAAAGATAGATAGACGCTAACCCTGCTAGGTTACTCAATGGAGTACATGCTTTGAAATGCCTTTTCTTACATTTTATATAATTATTTTTAAAACTTACAGTATTGTGCAAAACTCAGAGAGCACCCCTCATTTATTTAATAATTTAATAATTACGTTCTCTCAGTGTTTAGTATGTCCACCGTTTGACTTTATTACAGTTTCCTTTCTTTTCAGATGAGTTTTTCAAAGAAAGTTCAGTCTTAGAAGTAACTCCAAATACACTCAGTGATTTTGAAGTTTGGGCTTTTTATTGGAAGGCTAGAGCTGTAACTTGTTGGTTTTAAGATGTTTGGTTTTATGAGAAGGATAGAAGAGTAGCAATATTGGATAAAGTAAATACTTATAGTGATATGATAACACACTCACTGTACTGTTGGAGGCTTCTGAGCAAGTTTCTCCTAAATATATGTTTCCTTTTTCTCACACTGAAAAATAAAAAGCTTGTGTACTGACTGTTTTGACTGGAAACTGAATGAATGAAAGTGGTCTCTGACTTTTGCACAGTACAGTAACAAGTTAGTTATTTTTAACATCTATTTATAATTGTGTGTACAGTCTTGTTTTTCAGAAAAAAACAACTTTTTTGCCACATTTGTGTCAGTTTTTGATTAACAGAAAAAAGTCAGAAGTGTGGACTCAAACCTGTCCATACAGGACATACGACAAGCACATTTGCAAAAAACGATAAACGGCGTCCTTAAAAAACGAGCTGACGGTCATGAGTTATTCTTATAAAACGGATAATTCCCATCCTAAAATCTGATTGGTTGAGCAGCATTTGAAGTAAAATCAGCGATATACGCGCACCTATGACCGCCTCACAACAACTGAAAAAACGCTTGTGCTGTTGATGGAATAATCTTTGACTCTCATGTTGCTTGCAAGTTACCTACTTGGACGCTGAGTCTCACAAACACAGGGCTGCCTGTCCAGCAGCCAGGTAAACGGCCTTTTGATCCACAGCCGCAGCCCTGCAACTCTTTATCTCCAGACTCAGTCTGTAGCAGGGCCAGCGTGTGGTTCAGTCCACACCACACATCCACTGGAGCCATGGACACTATCACCTGTTCAGATGGAGGTAGAGTATTTAAAGGATTTTATTAATGTTAACTTAGTGATGGGATATTAACTTGAACTTGCTAACAAACACACTACCATAGTGGGCTCGCCACGGTCGATCTTGTCTCCAGTGCCTAACTGGCCATAGCGGTTGCATCCTTGCATGAAGACCCTTCCACAGTCATCCAGCAGGCAGAGGTGCGAAAGACCCAAGGAGCATTTCACCACCTACAGAACATATTGAGGTAGTGAGGCATATGATGATGTAAGTACCAGTCTAACACACAGCACTAACAGACTGTGATATCACTCAGTACAATCTGATCTGCAGACATTGGAACCAGTGATTGGCAATAAAATGATAACTTGCACTAAGTTTATTGAAGACTTAAAAAGTGGAAGTTGTTCAGTTTATATGGTTTATGTGGAGGAGAGATACCTTATATGGCAGCATGAGTGGGATAACAGTTTGAGCATCATAGGTGTCATGTCCTGCGTAAGTCCCAAACAGCTGGTAGTATGTTCCTATAGAATGTACTTCGATGAAAACTGAGCCATCAGCTAAGAGACAAACAAGGAAAGGAGAGAAGTTATGTTTACTTTTCTTACTATGTGACTGACTATTGCAATTGTAAGTAACGATGCTATGTTTACAGTATAGTATATATACAGTATAGAATGTCAGCTCCATGAAGTCATGATGCCCTCCATGTAGCTATGCTGATGTGTGGATCTATGTATCTATGTTATTGTATGTATTAGTGTTGGTAATGATCCATAAATCACCATAAATCCATAAACCTGTATTCTTCTTAAATCAACACAAAACCATAAATCCTGTTTTTTTTCTGCTAGGAATTTGTAAACCAGGGCAGAAAGCACATGAGTATGCAGAGATCACCCTTTCATTCATTTAATTTCCAGTCAAAATGGCCAGTAAGTACAAGCTGAAAACATATATATAACATAACTAAATATCAGTTTTTCTGTGTGTCCATTCACCCTTTGCCTTTATAAAAACTTTTTGGGAGACAAGGTTTGGTCATAGAAGTTGGTTGTATTTTATGCTTTTATGCTTTCTGTAAAAAGTGGACACATTAAATAGATTTGAAATGATACTTACTGTAGTGGGGGCTTCTGTGTAATTTTCTGTTAAATGTATGTTTTCTGTATACTTTCTGACACTGAAAAATGAATTACTTGCTTAATTGCTGTTTTGACTGAATAAATGAAATAAATGAATTGCCTCTTACTTTTGCACAGTTTATTAACACTGGCTATGATGATGAGTTTAGACTTTCACGTATTCTGATGCAAATATCAGTAATGTCAGTGTATAACAATATAGTAGTTTTTATGCTGCTCTGTGATTCATCACTGAAGACTTGTACAGCCTTAAAAAAGTGTATTTTTCAAGGGTTCTTAAGTAAAGGTAATTATTATATAATGCCATGACAACTCACAGAACCATTTGAATGTTTAAATGGTTGTTTGCATGGTTAAATGGGTCTTCTCTGTGATGGAAAACTTGTTGTTTGTGGTTCTTTGAAGATGCTTTTAAAATGGCTCTATATAGCACCAAAAAGGGTGCCACTATTGCTACAAGTCATTCAACCTTTTAACAGTACTAGACAAAACCCTTTTTGCTAAGATTGACAGTACTCATCATTGTGTACTACATAGAGTTGGATGGCCTTCTCTATCTGTGTGAAGGGAAACACACTGGCTGCTTTTTATCTATAAAACACCAGATGCCACTGTTCACTGTGAATAATGGTCTCTAAACCTGCTCTAGTGACTTTATCACATATCAGGTCCCCTGAGCTTTTACTGATCTGAGTAAATCTGCTTTAGCTGAGGTGCAGCAGTGAACTGGATTACGGCACAAGACACTCTACTTGCTCGTCTCTCCTAAACTGTTCATGTCTAATTACTTTGTGTTTTAGTTGATTATTTTAGTTCAATGGTTTAGCTGTTTGTTTTGATTCCTTTCTTAAATTGTTTTATTGTTTTGACTTTTTTATCCTTCTTGTGTTTTACTTCAAGTTCTGTTTTTCACCTTAGTATTTTTCTTGTCTTATTGTTTATCAATGGGTTTTATTACTTTACAAGTCTACCACTTATGCAATTATTTCTTTTATTTTTTAAGTTCCTGGCAGCACTAGGCCACACTGAAAATGAGGATCCTCTTCAGTGTGACCCAAGCTTAAATAAATTGAATAAACGAATAGAATAAATAATAAATTAAAAATTGTGAAGTTGGATGAATGAATGGATATGTGAAGTTGTACAATTTTGGATAAAAAAAAACATACAGTTGTATTTTTTTGCTGTGCTTTTCAAAAAGGTGCAGAATCTTACCTCTTATATACAAAATGCTGTTAAAACTGGTGTGGATCTGTTTGATTGGCAGCTCTGGCAGTATTTTGCTAACGTTCTTGAGAGTCAGTTGCGTAGTGTAGGGGCATGAATTATTGAGCTGGATCTCACTCATAGACATGGCATACACTTTTCCAGTGTCTTTTCAGAGAAAAAAACAAGATGAATAGAGCAAAATCAGTAGGGTTGAAAGTAAGCTAAAATAAACAAATCAGTTTAATCAAAGGTGAGGAACAGATTGAACGACTGATCTTAACATCACTATACTATAAAAAAAACAAAGGTTTTTGGTGAAGTTACTGAAATTGGGATTATTTTAAAACAATCTATGTTTAAGGAAACCTTTAAAGACAGATTAAGTTTCTCCAAAGAAGTGGGCCATTCTTACTAATCAAATATAAATATATATATATATATATATATATATATATATATATATATATATATACACATATATATATATATGTATGTACTGAAAATATTGTAAAGCTTTGAATTAACTAATGATATGAAAGGACTATGTGGTAATTTCATTGCTCTAATTCCACTTGTGCTCATGGACAGGGTCAAACCAATCATACACAAATATTACGGCCCACCATGCAACCTGGAACTAACCGGTCAGCAGCAGGACAGTGCGTTTGTTCTCCGGTCCGCACAGGCGGAGCTGCGTGAAGTTGAGAGAAAAATGGAAAGTCATGCGGAAGACCCTCTTGTGGGTGTCCCACTGGAAAACCTCCACACAGTCACACATGATGCGTGGGGCAGGGGGGTCCCATGCACTCTGGGGGGTTACCATAGACCTCTCGGCTCACTAGCACGTAGATATACTGTCGGTATATGGGATTACAGCGGGGGTCCACAGCAAACTAGGGCACAGAGAAGAGACAGTAAGCCCACATGCTGGTGCACTGAACACCATGTATGATAACAATTGCCTAAAACTATTTGGATTACTGTTGTCTACACTGACTACAGTAACTGGATATTCCAACTGGAAACAGTCTGTAATGATTCCAATTATAATGGAATTAGATCATTCTTATGGACTTTTACACGGGTTTGTGGGTTAATTACATTTTGCACATGATTGAATTGAGCTGCCTGGGGAGAAGTGAGGAAGAAGAAGTATACTAAGACAAATACTAAAGAGACATAGGATTTTAGTTATATGCTAAGTTAAAGACATATGTTTTAAATGTTTCTTAAAAGTGAGCACTGAGCTTGACTGTCTAATATAAGGCAGGACTGAGTTTTACAGTTCAGAAGCTGAATATCTGAACAAGGCCTCTCCATGTTTTCGGTATTTTAGGGAAGGTATTTGCAGAAGGCCAGTGCCTGCAGATCTAAGATCACATGCTGGAACATAAACAGATAGATATTTTGTGACGCAAGCAGCTGTATTAAGGTCAGTTAGAGCTTTAAAAACGAGGAGCAGAACTTTAAAATCTATCCTGAAAGAAACAGGCAGCCAGTGCAGTTCTTTTAAAACAAGAGTGATTAGATTTCACTTTTTTGTTTTTGTCGGGATGCGTGCTACTGCATTTTGTACAAGTTGTAAGGGATGTATTGTTTTCTTAGGATCGAGGTAAGACGAGCATTACAGTAATCAATTCTGCTTGTCTGTATTGCTCTCAGATAGAAAAGCCTGAACTTTTCTAAAATCATTTTGGAGAATGGTTTATCTTTGGGTGAATTAGCTTAATCTTTCACTGAGAAAATAAGAAAAATCCAACCTTAAACTGAAGTAAATTTATTCTTATCAAGAAATAATTCATTTGAACAATTATAGGTACAAAGCTCCCTTTGCAAATAAAGCAGCACTTAGTGTTCTTCTATAACATCTTATGAGGTGAGTAGGAGAATACAGAGCAGGAAATGTCTCTCTAGATTGTCCTTTGTCCTAACTTGGGCACTCTCCTCTTTAGCTCACCCCACAGGTTTTCTATGGGGTTTAGATCAGGGGACAGAGGTGGCCATGGCAGAAGCTTGATTTTGTGTTCAGTAAACATTTTTTTTGCATTGATCTGGACAAATGTCTTGGCTCATTGTCCTGCCGGAAGATCCAATGATAACCTATTTATAGTTTCTCTGCAGAGGCAGACAGACTTTGATTTAAAGTGTCCTGTTATTTCATGAGTCCATAACGTCACGTACCCTAACGAGGCTTCCAGGGCCTTTGGAGGAAAAACGGCCTCACAACATCACAGACCCTCCACCATACTTAACAGTGGGTATCAGGCTCTTTTCAGTGTAGTCATCCTCCTTTTTATGCCAAATCTACCTTGAAAGTTTGTTGCCAAAAAGCTCAATTTTTGTTTCATCTGACCATAAAACACGGTTCCAGTCAAAGTCCCTGTAGCATTTAGCAAACTCCAGACACTTAAATTTGTGGTTAGGTGACAGAAAAGGCTTTTGTCCTGGCACGGCTTTCAAATAACCTCTTGTCATGGAGGTGGTGTTTTGGAGACTTTGCAGTAAAGATTCTACTTTTTCTCGTAACTCTCCAACAGTGATCCTTGGGGTATTTTTGGCTCTCTCACCATCCTCCTTACTGCATGTGGGGGCAAAATAAAATTGGGTCCTCATCCAGGCATGCTTGTTACAGTTCATTTTGATTAGAACTATTTAATTATTGCCCTAACTGCAGATATGGGCATTTTTAGATGAGTAGCTTTTTAAATTTCCTGACTTATGAAGGCCAACACACTTTTTCTTTATTTAAATTGTGTGTTCTCTTGTCTTTCCCATGCTGAAGAATGGAATTTGACCTCTGTGTTACCTCATACATGTGCCCCATTGAAAAGGGAAGGCTGCTTAGAGCTTGAAAATTCCTAGACACTCTGATGAACTTAAATATATGGAAAAATGCTTCAGTTCCATTTCATTTCCAAGAATTCCTTAGGGGTGCTAATAATTGTGGCACATGGTTTTATTAAAAAAATCTTTATGAAGAATATTTTTTTTCTCAGAATACATTTATGTCAACTAAAGGTTGGATTTTTTTCATTGTCCAGTGTCAGATTAAGCTAATACACTAAACGGTGAATTTCTCATAACACTTTTTACTGATCTTTGCCAGGGGTGCCAGTAACTGGAAAGGAGACTGTATATATGTTTGTGTGTGTATGTGTATGTGTGTGTATTTGTAATTTGAAGGTTTTATTTTAATCATCAGTATGCAGGTATAAATGCGTAGACTTGTGTACAGTGCACTTACGTCTTTGGCATCGTTGCACAGTATTGAATAGCCTAAGGGCCTCCTCCACATCACATTCCGCCGAGGGGTGAACAGGACAAAGATGGTGCCCTTGTAGTCCCAGAGGACTGTGTGATCCAGTATGGGCACCACCCTACGGAAGCCCAGCGCCATGGGAGCATTGAATGACATTGAATGGGTCAGCTGCCGACTTCTTAAATGGTGCAAAGGGGCTTTACCCCTGCCAGAAGAACTTCTAACCCGCTGAAGGACAAGCCCCTGGCTCACTACACGCAAAAGAGGTATAGCAATTTAGATGGTTAACACAGAGCACTGATTTTTAAACTTTGCTGTGGGTAGTCATTTAAGCCAATAGTTAATGACAAAGTCCTCGACTCTCAACCAGACTCACTCTTCAGGATGGTTAGCCTCCTCCAGTTGGTTTCATCATTCCTGGAAGGAGCAGGACCTTTCAAATTCTCAAAGTACAAATTCTTCCACACAGCCTGGCTGAGGCTCAGCTTGTGAAAATAACGGCATGTGGATCCAAAGGAAACAACATCAGGCACTGAGAGCCTAATTAGGATGTTCTCAAGCTGTGAATAATAATGGAATATGAGTAATGCAGGTTCTTATCAGACAAAAACCTTAAAGAAATGTAATTTACCTCTTATGCAAAACATAGCCAATCAGCCAAGATTGCCAATCAGCCATGCTTCGTGTTGCACTAGAGCTACGAGATTAATACAATTCACAAATCATAAAAAAACATAAAAAGGATATTTTTGGCCAACATAGACTTCTGTTGTATTTCCAGTGCAAAAGTAAAGAAGCAAACTTTAGACACCAAACATCTCTTGGCCGATCAACTATGTTTAGGGTAAGGAAAAAACAGTGTAAATGAGATTTATCTGTTAAATCCAAACCAAGTGAGGACTTTGTTAGCGTAACAAAAAAGAAATCGTGCTTTTATAGACATTTCTCTTACCACTTCAGGTGGCAATGACAGGATTGAGACTGCTGGGTTTTGCCCAGGTGGGGTCACGGTTCTCCTCCTTTTAAGCTATTATTTGGTGAGAAAAAAATCACTTGTTGAAAACTTGCTTATCACTAATTATTTCTGATTATATTTCAAGTTGAGTGTAGTTCAGTTACTCACAGTAGGTGGTGCTGTAGACCTGTCAGAGGTCCTTTTCCTCCGTTCTATGTGCAACGTTTTTTTCTTTCTTCTATTCATTGTTTCTTTCTTTTTAAGACCTAATTTGCCAGGTTGAAGAGAGTGAAACAATCCTGTGCTGCCCGTACAACTGTCTGCTCACTGACCTCTGAGTAAAATCAATCCCCAGAGTTCTAACATGCCATTATGACCACAGAAACAGAATTCCATTCACCTTATTATGACCTCATGGTGTGGAATTCTTCAGTGTCTTTGGTGGATTTTTTGGTGGTGAACATTGTTAATCTGTAACAGCCTTTAATGATATAACGTGATATATGATAAAACTTGTGTAGGGTTCAGACTCTCATCAGGGGGCTGTGGGCACTTGATTTTAATCTTGAAATGTCAGCCCTCAGAACTCTAACTCTGACTTTGCTGCTGGGTTTTGTACCTCCTAAACTACTTTAAGTGGAGTCCTGATCAATAACATTATTCATGTATGTTTACATGTTGGGAAGATTTTGTAAAAACAGGAAAAAAATCAACCATGAAATATTAAACTATGTTATCTACATACTGTGATGCACTGATAACTAATTAACAGTGATAGGGTTTTGAACTAACTTGGCGAAATGTTAGTATTAAGAACTTGGGCCCCTTTCTTGAATTCTTCCATTAGAGACTGTTCACCCAAAAACAGAATACAAGCCATAAGGGACCAGCATGTTCCCTCAAATGAATCAGTGGACCGTGCTTTTAAAAAGCTAATTTGTTTAGCATTTTTCTATTTTACATTTCGCGTATTTTTGAGAAGGAAAGTTACGGTGCACAACATATGACAAAACTATCATCTGCAACAGTACCACATTTATTAGCACTTGCACATACATAGCTACATAGTGTCATAATGCATGCATGCACTGTACTACACTATATAAGACTATATATGTAGCTTTGATTTGAAGTGGAATTGTACCGATTTTTCAAATCATGCAGAGTAGTTTGATTTGAAATGCTCTCTTCTAGAGAAACTTACTAAGTCCAAATTGTTCACAGTAGTGGTGATAAGAATCAGATACCTGAAGAGTTTAATGCCTGTAAAAGCTCCCTTACAGAAAGTTGTTACATGAAATCAGACATTGTTTTACAGTCGTTTTGAGATATGATTTTGTCCTTACACCTATTTTTTAAAATGCATTCATGGTCAAGAGGTACATGTAAAATAGCACTGAAAGAAAACTTGCTAATTTTAGATTTACCTCTGTTTTAACATTATCAATTTTACATATAACAATTGTGAAGACGCGTTTACAACAACAAATAAAATGGCTATATTTGCATTTTAGACATCACAACTTTTGGTTCCCCCATTACTACAAAGAACACAATATCTCATTTCGTACCGAACCTCTCTGAATGACTCTGTTAGCATCTCTACAGTTTTGTCATGCCAAAATTTCGAACAATTGGTGAAACTCCCTTTTAACCATACTCTCTCTCTCTGCCTTTTACCATACATTATGCATTACACTCTCTTATGGCAGATCACTGCCTGTGTCTCCTACATCCCTCTGTCCCACTCCTCTCCCAATAAACAACGGAAGCAAGTTCATTTTGTGGCACTTCTCCACATGAATATTCATAAGTGACCTACATAACTAACCGGTGATGTAATGTCATCAAACATGGTAATGAGCTAATGAATGAGTGTTGGCTAGCTCCTCATTAAGGACTTGGTGGATTGAATACAGATAGTAGCATGTTCATGCCTTTGCACCCTCTTTACTTTTTTCTCTTCCTTGAAGATTACACAATGCTGACTCTTAAAGGCCCATATCATGAAAAACAGAATTTTCCTTTGACATTCACCTTTTTAAATAACGAACTTTGAGGTAATATGTAAACATTGTTTCAACAAGTTTCAAACAAGCTTTAAAACCTCACTACTCAGCCCATGCAGTCAATATATGGAAATAAAGCTGCAAAAAGGCCGTTTTGAATGCATTATTTCTGTGATGTCATGAAAACCAACATATTTACATACATCCACCTATTCATCCTACAGCAGTTTAGCTCCACTCATTCACACTGAAGTTATAGGGAGTGTTTCAGTCCTAATTACTTTTTGAATGAGGCACACTACAGTCAGCCAACCAGAACAGAGATCATTTATCTTCTCTCAGTCTTAAAGGGACAATAACATAAACAACCTGTGTAATATGGTCATTTAAACACATTTGTGACCATTTTGGCACATAAAGCTACACAAACTTTATTATAGTGGACTTCAAGGGAAAAAAATAAATTAGAAAATTGTATATATTGGCCCTTTAATGAAGGTCAGGATGACATCACCGTTTCTCACGCTCTTTTCCTCCTTCTTTCTCTTCCTCTGTGCTCCCTTGATCCCTCTGTTCCTCTTTTCATTTTCCCTGAGGAGTAATGGATCTGCTGATGATTTACTGACCCACTTCATCCTGGTCTAAGTTGAAATCACACAACAGATAGATATCCTGTAATTACTTTAAAGTTAGCATGAACATACAGTGCAGGCCATAAGTAATAAAAGCCCTGTGATTAGTGTATGGCTACGCCAATATAGATGTGAGTACAAATTAAAGCTGACAGCTTGCACTTTAACCTCACACTCATCATTTCGTTAAAAATTCATTGTGCTGAGATACAGAGCCAAAACCACCAGAACTGTGTTATTACACATTTACTCATAGACTGCACCGTTACAAGCCATTACGGAAATGTAAAAACAATACATTAAAAACATCTCAAATGTATGAGTTATTTTTCATTAAATGCTTCTTCCTCAGAACATACACAGAGTACAGTGTGACTCTGGGCAAAGGATAGGCTAAAAGCTTTTTATCCACTGATTATGAGATTAGCATTTATGGCTGTGTGCTAATACACTGGTTTAGCCATAGTTTAGTGAGAAAAAAATGCTAAGAAGGTTTTGCACTCAGCTGACTATGCTCTATTTAGAAATAATTATTTTGTGATAAAAGCATGAGAACACTGAATATGCACGCACACAGAAAAGGACAGGCCTAATGCTTTATCAGGGGCATTGTGTGGCAGGCCTATGATTATCCACAATTCTCTCTATAATATGTATAGTATATGTGTGTGTGGGACTGAGTGGGTGGAGGCCAAAGGGCTAACATTGCTGAGTGAGAAGACTGACAGATGGGCAAATGGAGTTTTTATGTAAAGCTGTGCATGTTAATGGGTCTGAGAAGGGTCATTTAACACAGTAGTGTAGTGGCCTAAGCCTATAGTAGATAGGCTTTCTGACAATGACCATTCATCTGTATTTCAAACTACATGTTTCTGACTTTAACCAATTCTATTCCACGTCTCTACCTAAATACACTTTCTCCCAGACCACACTGTTTTGTGTCCAGGATTATTTGCTTAATATAGTTATTTTGGCCTAAACCAAAAGTCCCAACATAGTAATCAATTGTATTGTATACAAATTAGTGTTGATTTGGTATGTATGATAAGTCTTTTTGTGACTTGTGTGCCTGGTTTGGTGCTTTATGTGCTTGGTTGTGTTCAGTATCTTTTAATGCTGCCTTGTGGTTTTGATTTTGCCTGTGTTTATATGTTCACATATCATCCTTCCCAGGCACTGCAGACAGAAAATTAGCCAGTAGGCTAAATGTGGCACATCATGAAATAATGATGCTGATTAGGTTGATTTTTCCCCCGGGGCATCTGCCTTAATACAGTTTTCTCCAGAACACTCCAGAAGTTTTGAGTCAATTTCCCAGCCATAGTCTGCAATCTAAAATCATCAAGACTATCATATTAAATAGTATGTCAAAAATAGGGCACCAACATTAGTAGCACATTCATTAGTATAGCATGTATGTATGTCGTACATGAGAAGTGCAAGCATTATGGTTGTTGTTTTTTTTTATCCAGATTAAAATCATATTTGGTTATGCTTACATGTGCCTTTAGTTTTTTGGAGTTTTTTTCTCTCCTATTTGTTTGCAGTTTGTAATGGTGATATTATTTCATGTGTATTATATTTATAGATTCAGATGTATATTATGCACACCATGGTGTTTGATTTTTTCAATAATTTGTTTATACTTATATTCGTTTATAAAGCACTTCAAATATTGTAACTAACATATAGTGCTATACAAATAAAGATGCAGTCTTCTTCTTCTTCTTCTTCTTATTATTATTATTATTATTATGTTTTTTTGGGCGCAGCCATAATCATTCGCTGTTTCGGGCCTGTCAATCTAGCCTTTACTCAGCCTGTGGCCACGCCTCCAGCCGATGTTACCACGCCCCTGCCCCTCCCTCGGCAGTCTCTCTCCTCTCTCTGCGGCTCCGCCAGATTGACAGTTAACTCCGGGCGGACGGCTCCTCGGCTAACTTTATCAAATCCTGCACGCTGGATTTAACGCTGATTCCGGATTACACCCGTCTTCCTCATGAGTGCCCATCGCTGCTGAAGTAACGCACGAGGAAATGAAAGTTTAAGAGCGCCCTTTAGCTGTGAAAAAAGAGAGAAAAGTAAAATCGGGGGATTATTTGTGTTTCATGGCTGCTGGGGATGGGTCCCAGCTGCCGGCGACAATAGCGGCCAGCAGGAGCGTGGAGAAATCCCTGGAGGAGGCAGCGGCGAGCGGAGCCTTAGTCTTATCCAACCGAAAACTGAAGGAGTTTCCCCGGACAGCGAAGAACTATGACTTATCCGACATTACACACGCAGGTAAGCAGACTTCGTCCGGACAGGAACGAGCGAGAGAAAGAGGTAGTGTCTGTCACACGACGAGATAGTAACGCTACTTCACTTCCTTTGTGTGCTAGTTTTCACCTGCTCTCTCTCTCTGTAAAAGAGAAGTGCCTCCCAGCGCTAAAGCGAGCCCGAGTGACTCGTCGTCTGTTTATTGCTAGCTAGCTTGATGGCGAACTCCGTGGTGTTAACATTAGTACAGTAAGTTACACGAGGCTGAAGTTGGCTTCTTAACTCCTCGACAGCTTCTTATTCGATTTTTCCGTTCCACCTTAAATGGTGCAGCGGTAACGTTCTGGCGCCTGAACAGCCTGTACAGCCTCCCGAATGTACCGCTACACCATTTAAGGTGGAACCGAAAAATCGAACAAGACACCAACTTCAGCTGTTAAGTGCATGTATTCTGTACTTTTCACCCTCAGAGACTTAAAGACTTTTTATATTCCGTCACTTTTTTCACGTCGTGTTAACTTTGTGGTGTTTTTTGGTCTTCTTGCTTCGCTTGGTACCTTCAAAAACATCTCAGCTCACTTCCCTTCCTGTTGTTGTGATGAAGTGGAGATCAAGCGTTTCGTGTCGAAATAGGGCCATCTTGCTACACGCTGTTTAACCCAACGTTTTAACAGCTAAACCTCTGCATGAGCTCTGATGTCACATGTCCAGATAAAGCTGAAAAAGGTGAAGGACTGCTGAACAACCAGGTTTTTGAAATAGAGATGTCTCATGGTTGAGTTGGTCGAAGTGCATCTTTGTCACACAACGTGATGCTCTCAATACACAGCCATCTGCTCCTCATGGTGTAGGCCTGAGCTCAATGAGGAAGTGCTCACATGTACAAATGTGCCTTCACATTCTTACTACTTCAGTATATTTGCACTGTGTTTGAATAAAGCAAATCACCTCCTTGATGGAAACTGAATTTTATCTACTCGGTCTTGGTTATCATGTCTTTCTGTCTTTTATCATCTTCATTACTGTGTGCCTTTCTTTCTTGAGCTTCCTCTTAATGGAAGGTCTTGAGGCAGCTCTAAATAATGCAGAAGATGTAAAAGCCTGACACACACACACATATACATATACATACATACACACACACACACACACACACACACACTTTTTTAGGGCTACAGTATGACTCGGCATCTCTTTGGAATTTGTGATGTACCTTCTTACAGATAAAAGCACCCTTTTCTGCCATCAGCTGCTTGTTTCCAGACAGTGACTAGATGGACGAGTCAGTGACTGACTGATGGGCAAGATTACGCTTGTCAGGTGCCGTCTCAGATAGAGCCTTCGCAAATGTTAAATTGTGTGTAATCTTTTGGAGTATCTCTGGCAACCGCCTAAACATTGCCACATAGATTACCATGTTGCTGTGGCAACGCTGCCCACCATGTGAAAGTCCCTTCCTAACACCTTTGGATCAAACCAGCAGCAGTGGAAGACTCACACAACTAATCAGGCCTCAGATTTCCAAATTTATTGTGTTAGATGAACTTATTGGAGTTGGTTTTTCTCCTAGGTTTCAATGTGCTGTTCAGTGTGGCACCCTGCTCTGAGAGATAATAAGTAATGGCTCCTGATGTGAACCTGTGCGATGCCATGGGCTGGAGCTAATTGCCAGGTTCTTCTTTGAGTTATGAATGATGGTTAAACAGGCGTAGTCTTGAGTCGTGGTGCTTTAAAGGGACTATATAGTTGAAAACTGAATTTTTCCTCACCTTTTTTGTATTAGAGCTTTATGTAGTATGCAAACATTGTTAAAATCTCTAAATTTACCATTCACTCTCTAGTCCATACAGTGGAAAACTAAGCTGCAAAAACCAACACTTTTACATATACACCTATTCATCATCATTGAAGTTATGAGGAGTGTTTTAATCTGGACCACTCTTTAATCACCCATTCATTTTTCACCTACTTTAGCATGTTTGGTCAAGCTATTCTCTATAGCTCACAGCTATTCCACCACCTTTCCCAGTATATTCAGCTCTTCTTTACTATAAGCCTAGCACCACTGTGTTCTAAGGCACCCAGTGAAACTGTTGAAAGTGTCAGTTTAAGTGCCAGGCATTAAGGTTATGCTAATTAACACAATGACAAACGATAGTCTTGTGAAGCCCTGCGGGCCCACGTGTCTTGCAGCATATGGGTGCAGGGAGAATGGGGCCCACTCTTTGTTCTTTTACTGAACTCCCATCACGCATGCACACTGACACTTACACGTGTTCACGCTCATACACACACTCCTTCACTCTCCCTCTCTCTTGCTCTCTCCTGAAGATTGCTTTGCAGTATGAACTAACATCCCCCTGCAGGAAGGTCAGAGGTTCAGTTGTATGTGTATGTGGTGTGCTGGGGAACAAAGCTTGGTTTCATAAGATTTGAACCCCCAAACACCTCCCCACCCTGCTACTGGACATTAATAATAAAGCCACTGTTTACTTGTTCTTGCAGCAACAATAAATGCTAGTCTATTGCTTTGAGCGACTGGGTGTAAGCAGGTATGAGGCGGGATATGGGAATTAGAAACAAATGCAGAATGGAGGAAAGAGAGAAAAAGAAACACTGAAAGTAGATGAAAATAAATATTCTTCTAGAACAGACAGTAATAGTTCAAAGAACGATTTAGCATTTTTCAACCTAATCTCTGTCTGCGTGTTAAGCTTGGGCAATAATGTAAGTTTAGACAAACAGTTATTGTCTGCAGAATTATCACAAAAGACAATACTATTATGAACCAGATTCTGTTGTGATGTGCCATATGTTAGAGTTACAGAGCCTTCCCTCTAGCTTATGGTTTCCTTGATGATAATATGATTACCATTGTAATTACCAACTGGGCTAGCTTCTAATATTACTTAATAATTTATTATGATAACTGTATTCTGCACAGATGGCATGTAACACTATTAACATACGGTGGTTCTCTGCACTTGTTTAGTTGGAAACCAAAATATTGCCAAACTGGAGCACTGGCACCCTTCCTCTCAACAAGCTTGTTTAATAGCCTAATACTTCATATTTCCAAGGTCAAAGTATGTTTGCAGTCAGTTAGTTGGGGATGTTAAAAGAATGCTAATTTGCATAATACTTATTTTAAATATTCCGATTTTGATAATAGTAGTTATCGGCTTAAGGCTGCCACCTACCTGTAGTGTACAACTGATTACTACAGACAACAATTTCCCTGCACTTGGTAAAGATCATAAAACTATCACCCTTATAATAGAAGCCAGTGAGCAGTTGCTTCTGCCTCAGCACCTGCCCATTGGCTTCCATTATAAGTGTGTTTCAAGTCAACGTTTTTCTGTTAATTGCAAAGAACAGAGAAGCGTGTTGAAATTATTTTTTGTGGTAATCAACCATTTACTACAGATGCGGCAGATGGAGGTTATGTTGAAAAGCCCTGGAATATTATTTTAAAGAAGGCACCAGAATAAGTATAAATGAATGAAATGTTATGGTAGGTGAACTGAAACTAAGGCCTGTATGACTAGCAGAGGAAACTAAGGCCTGTATGACTAGCAGAGGAAGATGAATGGATGGAGATAGAAGCAGAGGTAGATACTGGAGTACTGTGTGAGTCTGTGAGTGTGCGTGTCGGTCGATAAATATTTGTGTCCGTCTGGCTCCCGTACACTTGTGACCACGCCTGGGGCATGAGCATGCAGCCCACAACAGAGTCCCTCATTCAGAGGAAGCATTTGATAACAAGAGAGAGAGAATGTGAAAGAGCGAGAGGGAGAGAGACCCTCCATACCACAACTAAGCTCAACAGCAGCTGATGGAGAGAGAGGGAGAAAAGGGGGGAGAGAAGGAGAGAGGGGTTGGGTAGGGAGGGAGTGGGGGTTTAATGAAATGGACTCATGGGTTGCTACCATTGTTATGTTCTCTCTGCATCCCCCCGGACTGGAGTCCATTCCACACGACCCCCTCCTACATTGTCTGAGTGCTGCTTTTAATCTATCCCTTTCTCTTTTCTCCTCTGTTCCTCAGAGTTTATTGCAGCTGTTTTTCAGTTCTTATCCATCTCTTTTGTCATATTTTTAGTTTAATTGTTTTGTATGTTAAGACTTACAAATGTAGTCTGACAGCTTTTGGAAAAAAAAATCAGTGGCGGATGATAAAACAAAAACTTGGTAATGGTTACATATTAGGATTTGCCCAACATTAACGCTAGTTATGATATAATGATGCATTTATTAGTGCATGTTCATAATGAATGGACACAGTTGTGGCTGTACACCAATCGGTCAGCTGTTTGTAATTTGTAAAACTGATTAAAATCCATATATGTTCTTAAATATAAATCTAAAATGTATGTTTTGGCATCAGTATTGGTAGATACAGACATGGAAATGTTGTTTGTCCACATTGGTTTTCACATTGGTACGTGTCTTTTGTCAGTATGAGTCTTAATGTGGCCACAAGCAGCCTGGTGTACTCTATTCCAGTAAATCCTGTTGTAAAAGTTGGTTCAAATTGCTCTTTTCTACTTTTTATAGCCTTTTAACTTGAACACGCAGTGTAAGTGCTAGGCTGAGTGTGTCAGTGAAGCATTAAACTGAGGCCTAATGCAGTAAATTCACATCATCCTTTGACATGTCAAACTACTTCCCCATTAATTTGAAAGGTTTCTAAACAAAGAGGCTCAGGCTCTTACTATGGAGCGGAGATGATAAGTGATTAGCTTGTGCTGCCCGCTCCTCTAGGCTTCCTGACGCCACATAGTTTTAATGAGAGGAATAAAGTTGTCTATACTGTGGAGCCTGTTCAATCTGCTAAAGACCTTATATGCATTACTTCAGAAACTTTCCCTGAGCCGTTTCTGCTACATTTTCAGCTCTCTTGAAACGCCACTTTAGAAACACTGACCACAAATATTGTACAGTGATGCTCATAAACAGTTGTTTTATGTATTTTATAAGAGGTTACTATTTTCATCATTCTTTTGCTTCAAAATAGTGATCATT